TGGGACCATTTTGTTCATGTGCCCAGACCTGAAAAATGCATAGGTTCAGTAGTGATAAAAATTGACTAAGACCAAGGCTAAAATTAAGTTCTTTAACTACCACTAACCTCTTCAAACACCAACTTCATCAGATCACCTCTTCGAACAGTTCCGTCAAGGCTAGTAGTGAAAATTTTTGAAGGATTAGATCGATCAAAAGATGTACAATTGACTTGGCTTGTATGTGGCCCTAGAACCTCGACACATTTCTCCTCATCAGGATTATACACATCCCAGAGACCTGAAAGAAAAATAGTAAAGAAATTTATGACATCTCAGCAGAAATTATCTTGGATGCTTGAAATCCTTAAAACATACCTAAATCCCCACTTGTGCTACCTGAGGCCACAAGCACTTTCTCCTCTCCAGGATGAAAGGCAATAGAAGTTATTCGGGCTGTATTGGTTTTTGCTATCATTTCCTCACTTAAAGTTAATCGGGAAACTAGTTTTTTGAATCTGCAAGAGCAAAAGTATGAAAGTAAAATGAACTTACAAAGGAATAGGCATGACCAAGTCTCAACTTACGTGTCAAGACTGCAGGTGCTGAGTTGTGATTCATCACCTCGGTGGACAAGGAATGGTCTGAGAAGACTAACAAAATCAGCACATTTGGAAGCAGCATCATCATTATCTTCTTCATTGGCTTCCTCTTTAGGTACTTTGAGTGAAAGCATCGGAAGTGTGCCTGAAAATCAAACAAAACATCAGATTCCACAAGCATGAGTATAGTGCAGTGCAAGCTGCTATTGACCAATCTTAGCAATTTTCAACAATGGTTCCTCTTTTCAGAAAAGAGCATACCAGAGGGCTTACGTGCAGTAGCTTTAGCAATAGTGACTCGCAAGTTTTCCAAAGTGCTCTGTACAACATCTGATTTGAGTTTCTTTGGAGACGGTTTCCCCAGTTTCCGCCTGAGCTCGCGTGCCCTCTGATCTTCAATTATAGTTCTTATCCTCTTTGACTTTTCTCGAGGTGTGGGTGGTTTCCTTAAATAGAACATTGATTTTACAAAAGCCCATGAAACGGCAAACAAAGTTAACAGCAGGAAGAGTAAGCACTTACCTTTTAGTACCTTTACGATCTGTTTTTTTGGAAGACTCTCCTATGTCTTGTTTTAAATCTGCAATACCAAGGGATCTAGAAAAGTGAAATATAAAAGAAATAAAACACCAATGAGCATGAAAAAAAAGAAAAATTGATGTAAATTGAAAATTAACGAACTTCACAAGTTCCATTCGCTCTCTAATATTTTGCTGACGCAGTTTTTCATAATCATCATCTGAGTCAGACGATTCCTCTGTTTCAGCTGAAGACTCTGATGGGGGTTTAATGGGTGCTCTCTTCTTCGCCTTAGGCTCGGGTTCTGTTGCATCCCATTCATCTTCTTCCTCCTCATCTTCTTGCCCCTCACTTTCAACCTCTTCATCTTGCACATACGAAACTTGCTGGAAATTGAATAGAAAAAAATTTAAAGGACTAAATGAAAAGAAAGGAAGAAAATGTTCAGAAACTTCCTCAGTTGAACATTGAAATTACAACCATGACAGTATATTTTAAACAGACTGATGATCAAGGAACGTCACAGACACGTCAAGCTCAGATAAAAAACTAACTCTTACCATGCTACACTAACTAAAATAAAATCTTGTAAGGAAAACTTTGTTATCAAGACCTGATTGTACAACAAAAGACCATAACCTCAAGTATTTGAGATACTCATCTGAGCTTACCTTCCTTGTTCTCAGTCGAGAAGATACGCTAGGGGCGTCAAATTCCCCTCCACCGTCAGCCGGTTCTTCCTTCACTGGGTTTCTCCCAACTCTTCCTCTCATTTTCGGGCGTAGATAACATAAATTGATTCTCTAAAGAGAGGAGTAATTCATCGCTTCATCTCCCGCCACAAACTCTGGGTAAATTTCGGACGCAACCGTCCCTTCCCTTTCTCCTTCCCCTCCCTTTCTCCTTCCCCTCCCTCCCTTCTCCCCTCTTCCTCCCAGTTTTGAGCGTTACAATAAATTTTTCATCGCCGACTTTACCAAAACATCAAGGTGCCGGTGCCGGCCTCCACCATCCAAGACGCCGTGATTCAAGGCAGAAATAAATTTTGTTTTCTCCGGGTCCGGCGACGGCGACCATGGCGTCAGAAAGCGAAGGACGAAGATTGGCGGATTTGCGGGTTGTAGACTTGAAAAACGAGCTGGAAAAAAGAAATTTGGACACCAAAGGAGTCAAAAATACCTTGAGTGACCGTCTACGCAAGGTGAGCACTAAAAACAAGTGTTCACGTTAGCATTTGGTGTTAGTCGTCGCCATTTTTACGCAATCCTATTTTGGTCGAAGGAATTCATATTATAGTGCTGGCTCTGCGTATGTAGGTGATGGCTCGTAGCTCCTTACTTATCCGCGATGTTCAGTCTGGTGTTGAGTAATTTGTTTAATTCGTTCGTTCCTCCTTGAGTGGTTTTGTCGCAGTTGCCTGTAGTGCGTTTCACTCTCGTGCGCTTCGGCTTGTCCTGTTTTTAGGGCTTATGTGTCATTTCGAGGTTATGTGGACTGGAATGTCATCTACAATTTGCCACATAATTTTATGTTCTGAATCTTGTGCTGTTGGATGGAAGTTCGGTGCTAATTTGTTTCCTCTCTGCACTCTCTAAGGTACTCATTGAAGAAGGGCATGATCCTGAGGATTACATATTTGATATTGGGGGATCAGATAGGAAATCTGCTAAACGTTTGAGTGGCTCTAGTAAGTAGCTGGTTTTTGCTCTTTTCTGGCACTATTTTAATAGTCTATGTTTTAAAGCTCAAAGTATATAAACTTTCTCTGTTCATTCTCAGAAGACGAAGAAATGGACACAAGCATTGCCGAAGATTCAAATCAGGAGCCAGAAGAGGAATCAAAGAATGGTGAAGTAGAACAGGATGTAGCACCTGTTAAAAGTCAAAGCCCGGAAGTTACCTCAGACTCTAATTGTAATAATGATACCAAAAGTGATGAATCAAAAGCTGACTCTACTGTATCAAATGACCAGGCCAAAGATCCTAAGCCTGAAATTAAGACTGAGGTGAGTGGTTTCAACTTGTCTGTTGCACTCTACTGTGTACTGTAAACATAACATGGTTCTATGGTCCATATTGTATTTGTAGGTTGTAGAAGAGGATTCAGAGCCTGGAATGCCTCAGGAAGATGGTGATAAGGCACAACCGGAGTCCAATGGCCTGGACAATGAAGACTCTATCAATCTCACTATTGGTGAAGATGAAGAAAAACTTTTGACTGAAGAGGTATTGATTCTGTTATTATTTTTTTAAGACTTTCAACCTTTTTGTCTTTGATCATTTTTCCCCTCTAGTTTGTTAAATGTATACTTTTCATTTCAATTGTTGTTTATTTTGTTATAGGAAGAAAACAGCATTCAAGATAAAGATTCTAAAGGTAATATTATCAAGTAAAAAAAGAAAAAAATGTTTCCAATTTACACTTTGTTAGATTAGGCAGCTAAAGAGCAGTAGGCAGACCAGTGCAGGTTAGGTGGAAGATGAGGGAGCAGCAAACTTCAGTTTGTGAAACCACCACTAACCCACACCAGAGGAAACCCTGGAGCATCCAACCAATCAACATTGGAGCAATAGCGGCACCGCCTTCTTTGAGGGAACCACTCCAGGACAGAAGAGCCCCCTTCAGTTTGTCTGCATTCCCATTTGGACCCTCCGGACTCATCACTCCACCAGTATCACTCTTCTCCCTGCGCCATGTGAAGATCTTATTTTAGCTATGGTCTGCCTACTGCTGACTTAGAAAATGGTGTTTAAATGAAACGTGAACTGCTCCTGTTCTGTTTACGATCTGGCATGCTTGGTGGAGCCCTTCCCCCTCTGAACCTTTATGGAGAAGAGGGAAGGGCTACCATCCACCTACATGTCTCTTTTTTTCCTTCGCTTAATCTTCTGCTGCGAAAAAAGAAACAAAAAAACAGTGTTTCAAAGTTTGGTTTGGATCATCTCTTGTATAAAGTTTCCCCCCCCCCCTTTCCCATTGAAACCAATTAATTGTATCTCAATAATGGTCCTTGCTATGCTTGACATATTAATAATCTACTCAGGCATATGGACTTACTTGCCATGAGTGCTGGTTGCCTAAAATCAAGGGCTCTAGTGATAGCCAGACTTCCCTCCCCCTTCCTTAACTTTTGATGTAATTTGCGTCATTGATCAATAATGTGGAGATGCCATCAGACAGAAAACATCACCTCCCAACACTTGTCTTCTTCTCGGCGAGCACCAGCAGCGTCTTCACTTTCGAGCTGTTCTTGCAAGAACTGCCTGTGGGAGCTGAACTGATCTGAGCAGGGCGGGAGAGAGTCTGGACACAGCCTGGCCAGAGCCTGACCAGGCTGATCAGACATCGCCAAGATCTTTCTACGTGGCATCGACATATATTTCATTGGCTTAATAAATAACCCTTACTGATTCCTATGTAGATGAGAGCAGCAAGAGAGGAGATCTGAAGAAGAAAGACGGTGGCAGCAAGGTGGACAACAAGGACAAGAACCAAGATCGCAAGGAAGAAAGCAAGAGGTTTGTATTCTGCACCACAACTGCCATTGTCACCCACCCCCTGCTCGGTCAGCCTCGGTGACGCGCGGCCGGAAGCATCTCCCTCATCCTTCTCCTTCATCTTGGAGCCAACGGCTTGGTGCATCGCGCTGCATGGCGCTGTTTGCCTGGCCTGCTGCCCGCCGTGCTGCCCGCCGTGCTTCGAGGGGCCGCTGCGCCGGGCTGGGCCGAATCCAAGGCCTCGGCGGTGCCGCAGTGGAGACCAGGAGCAACTCCGGACCAGACCGGGCACTCGGCACGCAGCATGCCACGCGGCACGCCACGCGGCACGCGCTGGCAAGACTTCCTCTTCACTGCTGCAGCCGCCGAAGTGGTCAACGTGTGGTATACGAAAAAAGAGTAAAAGGAGCTGGGCTAGATTCAGCTATGCGTGTCCACTGCAATTTGCAGCAGATGCCAGCCAATCTGGCAAGGAATCTCTTGTGACAGGATAATTTTATGTTCAAATTCAGATGGAGATTTAGTATCCCCTTTTAACGGTTGTGTTACATCTTGCAACATATTTCATACTGCCAAGTAACAATCATCAACGACTATTTTTCTCAGAATTTGTATTAAAAGTAGTTTCATTTCCCCAAGTCTCCTAATTTAGGTAATTATAGGCAAATTTACCAGGACACATTCATATCAAATTCAGTCTTACATAGCCCATCTTGAATTGAATGCAGTCCATTCCATCAAACGCCTAGGGATTGCTCTTCAGAAAGCTGTTCTCATTCTGTGAAGAATTGAAAGTGCAGAAGTTATTTGATCATTTACAGCCTTGCAACAATTTCATTGCCACTGCATCAACTTGTATGAAGTTGGCTTTGAAACCATAAGCTACCAATGGACTATATCAACAACCCATTTGTTACTGTTTTACAGAAACTTTTCTGGACTTTCTAAGTTCATATTTTTATTTTTTGAGGATGATTTATTCCATTTCCTAAGCAATGACCTGATTATATTTATCTCTTCTAGGAGTATTAGTCAGTAAATTACTGCATGTACTTACTAATTCTGACCAAGCTGTTACTGATACTCCTCTATAATCTGTTTGATTTTGGTACTGTTAATGTTGCAGCAGTGGATCAAGTGATCTCAAGTCTCCCAAAGAAGACAAAGGTGGGTCTGATCGTTATATTTGCCTACCAATTTGTTCCAACCAAATTATCAACTTTATTTCTCATTTTTAACTTGCAGACAAGTCCAAGAAGTCCAGTAGCAGTAGCAGCAGTGGAAGTAGCAGCAGTAGCCGGAACTTATGGGTCAGTGGTCTATCTTCTTCTACAAGAGCTACTGATCTCAAACAAGTCTTCTCTAAGTATGGCAAGGTAAAATCTTCAATATCTCTGTTTTCTTTAAACTAACAAGCCCTGTAATACCTGCCACATTTCTAAATATATTTCTGTTTATTAGGTTGTTGGGGCCAAAGTGGTCACCAATGCTAGAACCCCTGGTGCTCGGTGTTATGGTTATGTTACAATGGGTTCGAGTGAGGATGCTTCCAAATGTATTCAGCACCTTCACCGCACAGAACTCCATGGGCGTCTAATTTCAGTTGAAAGGGTAGGTACTTAACAAACTTAAAATTTAAGACCACTTCTTAAGTATTTTAGCTAAACTGACAAGAAAATTGCTCTTGTTTTTGTTTTTAGGCTAAAAGTGACTCTACGGGACCCCCTAAACGAAGTGATCTCAAGTCAAGCAGCAGCAGCACGGAGAAGAAATCTGATGACAAGAAAAGAGAGCGCACCGCAAGCTCCTCAGCTGATGACAAAAAGGAAGAGCCAAGTAAGTTGTCTAGTTGTGAATGTGTCTGGAAATTGGACCTTGTCTTCAACTTGTCACCAATTGTATTTTATTTTTACGCAGGGAAAGACTTGAAGAAGGAAGGGGATGTAAAGGAAGGTGACGAGAAAAAAACTGAGGGAGAAGCAGCCGAAGCCACTGACAAAGTGAAAGATGAAAAGGATATCAAAGAAGAGGGTTCAGACAAGAATCGCCAAAACCGTAGTAGGGATGCCTCTCGCGAGCGAGACCGTGACAAAGAAAGAAGAGAACGTGAGAGAAAGGACAGGGATCGGAGGCGCAGTGAAGGCAGCAGCCACTCCAGACCACGATCCTCTCCCACAGGGCCATCAGGGCGTAAGGCGGATGTCCTGACCTTCACTCACATTAGGGTATGTTTCATAAATGTCAAATTCAAGAAGGTGCCTTGCAGTTGAACCTTTTAAAGATGGATGGAGTGTTTTACAGGAAGAACGTGAGCGCCACCGTCTCCGAGAAAAGGAACGAGAGCTTCGTGAAGAGGAAAGAAGGCGTCGGGAGGAGTCTCTTCGGCAGAGGGAAATTGAGCGTAAACAGCGAGATGAGGCAGTTCGTCTGGAAAGGTATGAAACACCAAGCTCTTCTCAGCCAAAAGCTAACATGCTTTTTACATTATTATTGCCTGACATATCTCAAATATTTGTGTGGTTTTTATTTTGCAGGGAAAGGGAGAAACTTCGGCGCGAACGTGAAGCTATTGAGCGAGAAAGGGCCGAATTATTGAGGTTGGAAAGAGACAGACAACGTTTGGAGAGAGAGAGACTGGAGAGGGAAAAGGAAGAGTTGAAACTCCAACAGTTGAGGTTTGTAAATAACATACATTCTAATTATTGTACTCTCTCATTCAATATTCCTGCTATCAATTGGTTTCTTTTTCTTTCTTTTTTTTAAATTTTTTTGTGGGGTTGTTAGATTTGAAGAAGCCAGAAGGGTTTTAAAGCGCCCGACAGAAGATAGGAGTCGTGATTATCCAGATGATCGTAAGAGGCTGGCAACTGAAAGAGACCGCTATGAAAGCTCTCGTTTCAATGACTCAAGGTTAGTGCACTTCTGGATTTACTTCTTTGGCAATGCTTCACTAAGATAAGTCACAATTTGCCTTGATTAAATGGTTAAATATTGTGTGTAAATAGCTTGTTGCTAACACTCTGAGAGAGATGGTAAATGAAATAAGTTGTACCATCTCATTCACATTCAGGTGAAAAAACAAACACTTAGTACCTATTACCTTTAGTGTTTTTCATTATTTCTAGTTTTTCTTTTTCTATTAAATTCCTCTCCCTTTTAATGTTCGTGCGGAAGAGACCGCGTGTGACCCCATGCACACCTTAAAAATTGCTTGATGGGAAGGTGTTGTTTGTGTGTTTTGCTGGACAGTACGGATAGTATTGTACATGCAATGCATTGTACAGACTTTATAGTTTGGAAACATTCCCTTTTGTTAAGTTGGCCTTCAATCAGTATTTTCCTTAAATGTAGTGAAATTTTTGAACTGGGTTTTTTGATTCTTAATTAAACTGTGTATGTGATTGCAGTCCTTATGCCATCTTCAAGTGTACTGGTAGTGTGTATTTGTCATTGTGTGATAATTTCTTGTTGCTTGTGTTTCGTAGAGTTCAGTATGAAAGCAAAGTAAGGGAGACCGACAAGGCTAGGAAGATCACTGACTCCGCCAATAAGCACGATTCAAGGTATTTTGACTACCACAACTGTAGACTTTTGACCATGAAATCTTTCATCAAAAATTCAATCACAAGCTGTAACTGCTCTCTGAGGCTGCAAGATGTCATCTTGGGAACTGAAAATATTTGATTAGAGTTGATTGTGTATAGTTTTTCATCAACTTTCAAACTGAACAAGTTTCTCATGAAACTGCAACCCGATTGCTTCTTGCTTTTGTTGATGAGTTTTGCATGGGACAATCTCAGTCAAGTCAGTGTACCCTGAGATGACTGTCGAAAGCTGCGTGGCAAAGACATGCTAGGATTCCCCCTTTCATCTGCTTTTATTAAGTTATAACAGCATGTAAGGGTGTGAGTTTAAATAAAATTTCTTGTGAGTGTTTGAAAAGCAGCAAGGAATGTGGCCTGTCTGTTGTTACACTACACAACTGTGGCTTCTGTTTCCAATTAATTTCTTTCTTTAAAGCAATGAACTGTTTTGAACAGTATCTTATTCATGAGTCTTAAGTAAATTATTTAGAATAAACTTTTAAAATCTAATGGACCTTATTTTTCCTGCTGTAGATCATCAGATTTCAAGAAAGACTTCAGTCGCAGCACTGCCAGTACCAGTTTAACTCGTCGCACCCATGAAGATTCTCGTACCTTGTCTCGTCCAACCCGTGATGTTCCTCCCCCTAGAGCTGAGATGTCTTCAGCTAGGCGGCCCTCTCCCTCCAGACCTAAGGACAGGTACGTTTTCTAGCGTTTTACCTGCTGATTATTGTTTGTTTGTTTGAATATGATTCTAATTTCTGTTTTGCTTCTTGTCTCAGTCGATATGAAAGGAATTCAAGCAGCTCCTTCCGGAGAGATGATCGAAGGCCAGAACAGGACAGCCGGTCAAAAATGGACGTTCGTGATCCCCATCCCCGCGACCGCTACTCGGACAGGTCCAAAGGAGATTCTGTCAGAGGTTAATACTTTGCCAGGGCTAACATTGCAAAAATAAACAAAACTCAGGCCTGTGTGATGACTATTGTTATTATTATAATTTCAGATGGGGGACGTTACACTGACAGAGCGGGAGACAGTTGGCATTCCAGCAGTAGCAGTGGGCCCACTGCATCTAAGCCTTTCAACAGTATGAGTGTGGGCTTAGGTGTGCGTGATTTGAGTAGTGGAGTTTGGGAGAGAAAGGAGACAACAGGATGGAGTCGGCCATTAGATTCTGGCTCTTCTGATCGGTCAGTGTTATTTTTGATTGATTGGCTTACTTTTTTGCTCCCTTTAAATATTGAGTCTCATGTCAATTAATTTGTTTCTAATTTTTCAGGTGGGTTGGAAGTAGCAGTGCATTAGGGGTTGGAAGTCGTCCAATGACTAGTGGCCCTCTGTATGGAAGTGCCCAAAGTGTTACACCTGCAGCTCTGACTGCTTTACAACTGGGTATCGCCAACAGCAATAGCTACTCTAGTGACCGATTTGATGCTTACAAAGCCCCTCTTGGTTCAATGAGAAAATACACTTGATTGTTGTCAGATTTGATATGTTAACTTTGTTCTTGTGTGAGCAATATGTTTTGTGACCTAGGTTTTATTCATTGTGTTAAAAAATTAATTTTCATCCTTACTTATGAAAGGACTCAGAAGATTTTTTGTTCTTTTTTTTTTTTCAAGTGTTGCTGTGAGTGTTTTGTAGCTTTTGCATTACTGACAGTAAAACCCAATAAAAATCCCAAAATGTTTCATTTGACACAGGTAGTTTTAATCCGAATGAACAAATGCCATTGTTGACTTCATATCTAACTACTGATTGAGCCTGGAGGTCCTCTCTTTTCTTGTATTTGCCTAAGTTACTTGTTTGCTACTGAGTATTGTTTTCTGTTCACTTCATAAGCACGTTCCTCTCAGTTTGTGTTTTATTGTTAGTTTCAATTTCCTGTTCATTTTCACCTTGTTTGGATTTGTTGGTATATGTGATGTACCCTTTATTTCTGGTTTTTAACATCCTTTTTTTGTTATATTGCCTAGAACTGATGTGGTGTGGTGATGTCAAAGATACACTTGTGCATGTATAATGAATCGATTGGAATTGTTAATAAGTGCATCCAGTTCATCAATGTCTGGTGTAAGTTTTTTTTTTTTTTATTGTCCGTGTTATGTTGTCTGGTAATTATTACCACCTTAATTCAAGTGTGTAATAATATGTTTACAGCTGATTCTCATGAAAACTGAATTAGGTGTTTGGAACACCTCTAACCTATATGACTCATTCCAAAATACCTATTTTAAACTTTGTATCCTTAAATAAAAAATAAAGCAGTTTAATCTTGGATGCCTATACCTTTTTTTTCTTTTGTAACACACTCATCCTATAATGTGAAAGCCCAGCTCAATACACTACTCTGCTAGAGGCTAGCGGGTTGTCTGTGCTCGACTTTCCAGGCGCGCTGCGCATTGTATAAAAATCAGGACTCAGTACTGGTCGGTAGTAACAGTACGTTACACGGGATTGGGGGGGGGGGGGGCGTAAAGTGGCCTCCGCACGACACACGAGCAGCCCCAGCGTGTCGCGTGCTCCTCGAACGGACCTCCTCGATGGACGTTCTGGGGTCCCGGCCGAAGGTGCTCGGTCTAAGGGCTCGCAGGCCGTAAAATTTCATAAGGCTTTCTCTTCTGGACTGGGCCATCTTGGGCCAGCTCAACATTTCCGACATTCAAGCGCTTCATTGCAAATACGAAATAACCAGACAATTCAGTGGCGGGGCGGGTGGGGGAATTCCGCCAAGAATTTCTTGGATGCAGCCCTCTGTTGCCTTCCCGGCTATCTATTGATCTAGAGTCAGCTGGTGTGCGTACTGTAAGGGAAGGCAACAGAGGGCTGCATCCAAGAAATTCGCGACGTATTCCGTCTCTCTTTCTTACGCCTCGGAAGACAGCGGAAACAGAGACCGACAGAGACATTCCGGACTCAACCCTTCACCTCTCCTTCCTCCACCTTCCCTCTCCCCCTCTCCCCCCTGGTGCAGCCCAGCGAGCCCAGCCTGGCCCTGCCCAGCAGCCAGCCAGAGACGGCGAGCCAGACACCGGCGGACACCGGCGACGCGACGACGCGACGCCCAGCGACGCCACCAAAGCAGGCGCCAGTGCTGCAGAAGGTCCGGTTGCGGGCCGGTGCATGCAGATGGGACGTCTGTTTGCTTTCGTTAGTAGGTGAGTGGTTGTTTGCGGGATCTTGCGCCCCAAGTAAGGATTTGTGGCTTCGGCGACAGGCCGCGCGCGTGGCACGTACTTTGGTGACCTCCAGGACAACATTGATCTTGTTTACGTTGCTGAATGGGGCTTGGTGGAGGCTGGGTCCTGGCTGGGTCGGTGCACAGGTGCTCTCGCCGCACCGCATCGCCACACCGCCACTGACGGGCTGGTTGTGATAATATTGAGAGGGAACGGGGCGAGCTCCGTCGTCAAATCGGCTTGGCAACTTACAGTTCGACCCGCAGCAGCATGGCGTGGACTGCGCTGCCGCTGCTGCTGCTCGCGTGCACGTCGTGGACGGCGTCCGCGGACAGCTCGCCGACGATCCCCTTGAGCTACGTCCTGGCCGACACTGCGTTCCTGGCGGACGAGATCAGCTCCAAGGATGGTGAGTGTTCTTTCTGCCCTTTTTGCTGTGCGGTTCCGTGTTGTGCACGTCTACATCCCCCATCGGCCTCGCAGGCCTGGCAGGCGCGGACGGCATGTCGCGGGTCCTGGAGTACCTCCACCACGTGGAGCGCACGGTGGGCGGCATAGCGGCCCCGTTTGACGGACACCCTCGCTCAAGGAGACAGCTCCCTACGGACCCTCTGACGACTCTGACCGAGGACCACCAAGGCGTGTTCTTGCTCAAGAAGCTGGTGCCGACCTTCAACATCCCGGCCAAGTTCCCGAACGACGTGGTCCTGTTCTCGCGCATGGAGGCCGGCGAGGAGGCGTGGTACGCCGCGGCGCTGGAGGCGGACGGAGAGAACCCGCAGCTGAGTCTGGCTAACTCGCTCGTCCTGTACAAGCTCATGGTAAGCGCGGTGCTGGCATTTTTACAGTGAAGCGTCTTAATTGCGTCGGAATTGAGCCCCCTGCTTTTCCCCGTCCAGGGCACCCGGTTTTTGGAGCAGGACCGCAAGGTGACGTTCGGCGGGTCGACGCTGTCCGTGCAACAGATCGACGGCTGGACGTACTTGGTGGCGGCGGAGCGGACTTCACACTTGCGCGCCGCCCCGGAGAACGGCCCCATCCTGTACCGCCTGTCCCTCGACGGCAAGAAGCTCATCACCGTCATGACGCTGCAGACGCACAACCCTAGCGACGTCTTCTTCTGGTGAGTCCGGCGCCGACCAAGCCGCCAACGCAAAGCCGCCATTGCAGTAATTCTAGTCGGTCCTTATGCGAGCTTCTCATGGTGTTGCAGGCAGTTCATGAACTCGCACTACTTGGCCGTGGCCTCCGAGTTCACCAACACGACGCAGGGGCTGTCCTTCGCGGCCGACACGCTGGTGTACAAGTGGTACGGCGAGCACCTGGACATCGTGCAGAGGCTGCGCACCAGCGGCGCCAAGGCCGTCACGTCTTTCACCATCGACTCGAACCAGTACCTCGTCGTGGTGAACCACGCCAACGACGCAGGTGAGTCGCGCCGCGCCCGCCGCGCAGTGTGGCGCCAACCTGGGCGCAGCGACTATCTTTCTCTGTTCGCTTCGCAGGAGAAACCAGCCTCCAGTCGACAGTGTACCGCTTCGACGTCGTGACCGGCGCGTTCGTGGTGCACCAGCACCTCCGCACGCACGCCGCCGTGGACGCGAGCTTCTTTACGATGCGGCACGCTCGCGGCCAGGATCACTTCCTCGCGGTCGCCAATGAGTACTACCAAGGTCTGCGGGGTGGGACGGGAGGGACATGTGGCATGAGGGGCGCGGCTTGCCGGGGGTTGCTAACTGGTGTCACTTGCAGGCCTCGACCAGACGAAGAACTACGAAACCAGCTCTGTCATCTACAAGTGGTCGGACGGCTTCTTCGTGCCCTTCCAGAGCCTCCGGCTCGTTGGGGCGTCGCGTTGGGCCTCATACTCGGTAGGACGACGCCGTGCCGTTGGCGTGTCGACTTGGCGGTCTTGTTTCCCTCTGTCATTTCCATTTGTTGCGTTCGCCCAGGGCCCTCACGACGAGATGGTCCTGCTCGGCACCAGCACGCACGGCCTCCACGGCTTCCAGTACGACGGCTGGCGCTTCCGCCAGTTGACGTTCCCGGGGGACATGTTCGGCTCTGGAGCGGACATCTCCTCCTTGCGCACCACCGTCTACGGCAGCAAGGGCCTCGTAGGTGTGTATCGAGAGGACCGCTTTGGACTTGCAGTGGCTGTGCAGTAACGGTTTGCTTCTCCAGTCGTCGCCCGCAAGCAGAACGCTGGCGTGCACGCGAACGTTTTCGAGCTGCAGTTCGAGAAGTCCATGCAGCTGGATCAACTGCAGGAGGAGCTGAGCTTCTGGTGCAACAAGGAGCTCGGGGAGCTGGCCCGCCGCTCCGCCGCCCAGATGTTGGAGCGCGTCAACGCGGCGCCGAAGTGGAGCGACGACGTCGTGGAGGTCAACTCCATCGTCTTCGAGTCCAACAGCACCATCAACACCCTGGCCACCGGTTCGGTCTGTAAAATTGGGTCGCGTCTGCGGATATTTGTCGTATTAATGTTGCATTCGGTTCTGGTTTCAGCATCATCTTCTATTTCATTTCCTCTTTTAGATCAAGTCCAAGAGCCAAGTCATCGACCCCGCATTCGTGGAGGATTTGAATTCTCTCGCTGGCGAACTGGAACTGAGCAGGGAGAAGCTGAATGAGGCCCAGGCGATCATGGATCAAGCACTGAAACTGGACAGGCACAACACTGTTCGAGGTGAGGCTTCTCAGCAACGGTTCTGCGTATGCTTTTACTGCCGTTTCTTGTTTCTTTGTTGACGAGGGCTCTCGCATTGTCCCCAGGCACCGTGGTGTTGCACAACGCCAGCGTTTCGTGCGTGGGGCCGTGCCGCTTCGGACACGCCGACGTTCGCCTGCTGAACAACGAGAATGCCGTGAGCCTGGTCAAGAACATGATCCGCCTCGACGCCGACGTCTCCACGGAGGGGGCGCTGCGGTTCTCGAGCGTTGTGGTGCCCGGCGACTTGAAGACGAGGTACTAGGGGCGTCCCTTCAGGGCGCTCGTGGTGTTGACTCCTGAGCCCAAAGCTCGCTGTCGATGAGTGGAGGGGGAGCGATGTCTTTGAGCCGTGTAATGGTTTTTGTCGTTGTGCTTCTCAGCAAAGTGCTAGGCGAGGCAGCGCCCCTGGTGAGCAAGGTGCACACGCGGCACCTCCTGGGGAGCCTCGTGGTCAACGAGTTGGTGGTGGACGCGGGCCTCAACGTGGACGGCACCATCGACGGCGTCCACATCAGCCCCGAGACGGTGTTGCTCGTGGACGGCGACCAGACACTTAAAGGTTGGTGAGGTGGTGGCCCGGGCTTTGTTGAGTAGTGTGGCAGTCTGGCGTTCTGTACCGCGGCCTTCCCTTGCAGCAGGCATCGACTCCGTGACGCACTGGCAGGTGGACAAGCTGGTGCTGCACGGCAAGGTGAACGGCATGACTGTGGACGTGTCACGGCCAGAGCTTCCCCCGGAAGCGCAGCCCTCCACCACGCCCGTGTCCCTGTCCGTCCGAGACGTGAGCTTGGGAGGCCTCCTGGGCGGCGTCGACATCGTGGACGTGGCCCAGCGCGCGCTGCGCACTCGCGGCACCCAGCAAGTGACAGGTGGGTTGATTGCCGTTTGTTTGCGCTGTCCCTTCGAAGCCCTTCCGCGAGCGACGCGCTAATGCCTCAACAACTCCGCAGGCCTCCACTCCTTTGCCAAGCTCTCCGTCCAGGACGCGTTGTCGCGCGGTCTCAACATGAACGCCATCGCGCGGACGGACGTCCACCTGGACAAGCTGCCCGGGCCTCTGCGGTTCACTCAACCTCTGGTCGCCGACAAAGTTCAGGTTAGCCGTCGCGGACGTGTTGTGCTTTTTCGTCTATCGGGGATCCGCCACTAACTGGCGGCGGTGGTGTTTGAACCCAGGTCTACAAGCGGCTGAACCACATCGCGGTGGCGGCGGACGGGTCCATGGACCTGCTGCTGAACAAAGCCGGCGGCGGGGCCACGCAGCACGTCGTGGCGCCCAAGTGGCTGCGGCGGCTGCGCGTGACGGACCTGGGCCGCATCTACGGCCGCATCCTGGGCCTGGTGCTGCCCGCCGAGGACGAGCCCCTGGTGCGCGTGGTGCAGGACGACATCCTGGTGGAAGGCGACGTGTCGGTGAGTGTTCGCGACTCTGCCCGCGGCCGCTCCGCATGGCCAGGCATGCCTTTCCGCTTGCTGGACTCACTCGGTGACTGTCTGCATCCGCAGATCGCTGGGCGCGTGGACGTGCAAGGCACGGTGACCGCCCCCAACATCGTGGAGCCTTCTTCGGGCGTCACTGTTCTGAACGTGCTGCAAGACGCCGTGCGGATCAACGCGCCGCTGCCACCCAACGTGTTGGTGGAGGACCTGGAGGTGTCCAACGTGGAGGTGACGATGGTGAACGGCGTTCCGACCAACGTGTGGATCCTGGATGCTCCCGGACAGGAAGTCCGCCTGACCAAGATGGCCAAGTTCACGGAGGGGGTGACCGTGACGGGCTCCTCGACGTTGACGGGCACGGTGAACGGCGTGGACTTGCGACTACTGGACGAGACGGCTCTTAAGACTACTGGCGATCAGGTCATTTATGGACACAAGACTTTCCCGAGCATCACCGCGAACGGGTAAGTAAATTTTTCCGCATTAAACTGACACATGATGGTGATGCCCTTCGTTAAATGTTTTTCTTGGTTGCAGTGTCTGGAGCAACGACACGTTGTTGGGCGGCGCGCGGTGGCTGGACCTGTGGGCGCGGCGCATCTCGCGGCAGGGCCACAACGGCGTGGTGAAGCTGGAGGACGACGTGTCGGTGGACGGTGAATTGATCCTCAAGCGACTGACCCTGGACGGCACTCTCGGCGGCGTCAACATCAGCGCGACGCTCCAGGACTCGGTGTTCCAGGACAGCAGTGTCACCGTCATTGACGGGCCCAAGACTTTCCGGCAGGTGAGCTGCTCTCTGGTTAGCGTCGCTGGGTTTCTTCTGGCGCTGCAAGCTGGTGCTGTCCGCAGACCGTGAGCGTGGACAACCTGCACGTGGAGCCGACTGCGACTGGCAGCGACCTGGGCGGCGTCTTCGCTGCCACGGTGCCTGGCGGAGTGGCGCAGCCCGACGGACACTCCTTCGCCTTCCCGTCCCTTGCCATCAACCGGCCGCTGTCCGTCGCCAAGCTGCGCTACCGCGGTGAGTCCCGCTGCCGGTTGTCGCCAGTTGGATTTTGTTTCCTTCCTAATGGCGCACTTCGTTGGCAGGCACCTTGGACGGCGTGTCGGACGCGGAGTGGGCCGTGCCCTGGCTGGAGGTGGAGGGCGATCAGACCCTGTACGGGCCGCAGACCGTGCTCGGCGACGTGGAGGTGATGGGCAGCGTGACGGCCAACAGCGTCAACAACCTGGATCTCAAGACGTTCGCGCAACAAGTGGCGAGGATCGATGACCCGACCCTACGGCTGGGGACCGTCACTTTCGGTGCGTTCCGCTGTCATTTCTTCTTTCTTGTTCAAATCGAGTGCCTGTTGGTTTCCTGCACGTTGCTTCGGCCCCTTTAGATGGCCCCGTGGTGGCCAACGGCTCCGTGACGGCTGGCTCGGTGCGCGGCGTGAACCTGGCCGACGCCCTGCTGGCGCGCGGCGTGCGGGAACAAGAGATGCGCGGGCGCGTGGTGCTTGCCGGCGGCCTGGAGGCCCAGGGAGTCTTCGACGTGGCGGGCACGCTGGCCGGCGAGGACTTCAAGGCGCTGTGCCGTTTCGCCAGCCCGGCGGCGTCGCAGCTCAACGTGCCGCAGCACCTCGACGTGAAAGGTCGGTGCGCTGCCTCATTGCTGCCTCGTCACGCGTCAAGTGGCTGTCGCGGGTGTGAGTGCGTTTTGGGTTTGTAGGTGACTTGCTGCTCAACGAGGAACCGGTGCTCGGCAAGTCCATCAACGGCCAGGACATGCGCAAGCTGCTGAACAACACGTGGCTGAGGGACCGGGGCGCCAAGATCACCGCCAGGATGGAGTTCGGCGACGTGCAGTTCACCAACGACGTGAATGTCAAGGTGGGTGACGTTGGTTGGGTAACTCGGCATTTTGTGGGCGTATGAACCCGGTCTACCCAGAAAACCACGCCTCTTAGTAGGGACGACCCGTCACGTGCTGGTTAATCACCGACATGGCGGGGCGGGCCCGATAGGCAGACGATCATTTGTGGTCCAGCCATTAATTGCAATCGCAATCGCCTGCGAGGCAGTCTAGCCCGGCGCGCTGGCGTGCGTTGCGGGCTGGCCTACCCTTGACTTCACAGGCGCTCGGCCCGTCCTGCCTGCCTCGCGCTCATTGCCGCACGTCGTTCTTTGCAGAGGCACATCGACGGAGTTAACCTGGAGGCCGTTGCCCAGCGGTACGTGAGCCTGACCAAAGACGAGACGATCTCGACCAGCATCCGGGTGACCAAGGACATTAAGGTGGAGCGCAAGATCGTGACCGACGTCGTGGATGTCGGTGGGCTGGTGAGTGTCCTGAACCAAGACGCCTGCCGCGGCGCCGCTGGTGTTGTCGGACGGACCGTGTCTGACTTGCGTGAGTGCGTGCGCAGGTGGGCGGCATTCGCCTGGCGGACTTCCCCAAGCTGGTGCTGATGGATGGCCCGGACCAGGACGTGCTCGCCCGCATGAAGTTCGGCATCGTGGAGACGACGGGCGGCCTGAGCCTGGACGGCACCATCAACGGCCTGGACTTGTCTCGGGACGTGGTGCTCATCAAGGACAACGCCGCCGCGTACGTATCGTGCCTGGCGTCGCCTGGCGCAGTGTGACTAGCTGTCTGACCGACTCGTGATTGCAGCTCGCTGGACCACAACGTGGTGCAGGGCAGCAAGGTGGTGCAGGGCAACGTCTACGTGACCGACCTCGCACTGCAGGAGGACACGCGAGTGCAGGGCGTCGACTTGGCCGCGTGGAACCGCGACGCCGTGCGCGTCTCTGGCGACTACGTCATCACCGGCTCCAAGACGCTGCACCAGCCCCAAGTGGTGGGCGGCCTCAAGTGAGTTGCGTTCTGATCCTTGGCCGCGTTGGCCCCAGTGATTCTGACTCGTCTTCTCCCTGTTGCTCGCAGCGTGGACGGGCTGGTGGCGGGTGTTCGCGTCAACGCCTCGCACCTCCTGCTCCGCCACTCCGACCAGCTGGTGACTGGCGTCAAGACGCTGGTGCCCGCGCCCTTGCCCGGGCTGGGGCTGCGCGTGCAGTCGCTGGAGGTGATCGGCAAGGTGAACGGCGTCAACATGCGCGAGCTGCTGGCCAACCAGGCCTACAAGACGAGCGACGTGGCTGTGCTGACGCCCGTGCACCTGGCGGCGACGGCGGAGCTGCACTCGAACGCGGCGTGGGTGGACGGCACGTACCAGGGCATCAACATCACTGACATGATCTACGCGGCGCAGCACCCACTCACCCTGGAGCAGTACGCCGCGCAGCACGAGGCCCTGCGCAGGACGGCCGAGCACGTGCAGCAGAGCCTCCAAGGTGAGTCCCCTTGGCCCCGTGTACCCCTCCATGGCCGTGGCTCGCGCTGACCCCGGTCCCCGTTGCAGCCCAAGGCTACTACCTCAACTACTACCACACGGCCGTGTCGCTGCGCGTGGGCGTGAGCGCTGTGCTGCCACTGGGTCGCGCACCCGAAGACTCCGCCGCCGACCCCGCGTTCGCCATCGCCATCGTGATGGAGCACGGCGTCGGCCAGAGCTTGACTGTGGACTTCTTCAGCTGGGACACCGAGCAGAGCACCATCGTCTCGCACCCGAGTGAGTGTGGCCCCTGGGTCTTTCCCTCCGGGGGTCATGACTTGGTCTTGACGTCGCTATTCGCTTTCCGTTGCAGCTCTCCGCCGCCGCGTGTCACTATCCCGCACCGTGCGTCTCATCGCGCCCGCCACCTACGCCGGCCTCAACGCCCTCTACTGGGAGGAGGAGGAGAGCTCTGGTACGTCTGCTCGCGTCTGGCATGTCAGCGGCTCGCGCGTCCCCGGCGCCTCATTTCTCTGTTCTGTGCCTTGGCAGGCGTGTTCGTGGGCCGCGTCATGGGGATCCTGCGTGACGGCCGCCTGGGCAAGGCCGAGGTGCTCCGAAGCACGCTGGCCAGCGCCTGGGTGTCGATGACGGAGGTGGGCGACATGGCCTGCCTGATCCGCGGCTCTCCCGGGGCGTTCGAGCGGCGCGACGGCTTCTGCTCCATGCACTGTCTGGGCCAGGGCAAGGAGAACCTCGTGGAGCTGCCGCTGGACGCACCCCGACCAACTGACGTAAGTAGCGGCTTCGCTATTGCGAAGTGCGCGTCACGGCATGCAGTAACTCTTGTTTTTGTCCGGCAGGCCGTCGCCCTCACCGTGCTCGGCGTCCCGCACGTGTTCGTGGCCTCTGGCGCCAGCGAGGTGTCTGAGGGAGAAGTGAACGTGTGGCGCTGGGAAGGCTCGACGCTGCGCCTGTCGCAGAACATCGGCGTGGTGAACGCGTCGTCGCTGGCCGTGACTGAGTACCGCGGCGTGCACTACCTGGCCACCGCGTCGGGCCACGTCGCAGATTCCCCCCACGAGGGACTGGTGCACATCAGCAGGTGAGGCTTCCATTTCCGTTGGCTGTTCTGTAAGGGGAGCGACCTTGGTCCTTGACGCTGCGTCTTTCCCAGGTTCTACTCGGACAAGTGGGTGCACTGGATGAGCGTGGAGGTGGAGGGTCCGCGGTCCATGCAGTTCGCCACGTTGCCCAGCGGCCAGCTTGTGCTGTACGTGGCCACCACCTGCCCGACGGACAGCTTGGTGGTGCTTCAGTACCGCGGCGTGTCCGGCTTCGTCCGCCGCGCGTCCGCGGCCGTGCCCATGGGAGGCGTGCTGAGCGCCTTCACCACGTCACGACACCACCACCTGGTGGCCGTGAGCGGAAGCCGGCAGGCCGCACTGCTGCAGGCCGCCTTCAAGGGCAACTGGGAAGCTTCGGAGCTGGCGGCCAGAGCCGTGGCCAGGGGTGGTTGAAGCTCTTGAAAGGAATATGGATTTTGCATAGCTTCGCCATCTACTTCTGAATGAACTATCTGTGTCGTTAAAGTGAAACTTATGTACTTCATTTATCATGAAATGAGCCAATTGTTTTCTGTTCTTGTTGAATGTTATAAATTATTGGTTATTAAAATTTGTTTAGAAAAAAAAAACAGCATTCTTATAATATTTACGTTAGTACTGCTTCCGCAAAGAGTGGTACAGATCAATCCAGACAAACGGGGGCATTTTTTTGAAGAAGTACAGTTTGCCAACAAATTTACATGCCAACGCAGACACATTCAGTACATAGGAGCATTATTCGAGGGTGAATTTATCGCCTTAGCTCTCATAGCAGGTTGGCTAGGGAAGTTACAACTTTAATGTTCCAAGGCCAAACTAATGGGAATGATTGAACTGATTGAGAAGAATTAGTTTTCATGATCATAAGGAGCACAAGTTATTTAAAATGATTTATACACAACATTTTATTGCATAAAAGTAAACTCTAGGATGTCAAAACAAGACATTAGGCATCATAATTCGCCTGTAGCTGAACAAGTTGCAAAATAAAGTTATTTGCATAAAGAGTGTGTCTTCATTTAATATATTTGAAACAACAAAGTTACATACAATTTGATCTGAAGAAACAACTTTAGAAGAATGATTCTTAATGCATACAAACATGACGACACACACTCACTGATTCATAGACAACTCTGATTTCAATTGGTCTGAAATTTGAGGGATTCTTATCTTATACTGATAACTGTCAATCTGCCCTAAAACCTCCACCTCATACACATTCTTTGTGGGGACCAACTCCATAATTCTTGTGATCATATCTGGTGTGGGTTCCATTGGTACACCTGAAAATTAAAAAAAGTGTTTTCTTAATAAAAACTCAGTAAAGATTTTTTTTTTTTAAATTAAAAAAACTACTTACCATCCAAATGGCACATTAACATTACTATGGGGGGTGAAACAAAATCAGGAACCATTTGCCTGATATCCTGAAATGGCACATCTTCACAATTTCCATAATCAATAAACATTAATTTGCTACTTTGAGTTTCCGTAACAGTCTCCGTATTTACAGCACGATACCATTGGCCATCTAGAAATTGTTAAGGGAGGAATGCTTTAGACAGCGCTCAAAGAAATGTAATTAATAATAACACAGGACAACTGATTCCAATTACCTTTGTGGTACTTTGCCAGGCAAACTTCATTCAACCGAGGATTATACCTGGCACTGGGATCTGTACTTTCACAGTATTCATTAATTTGAAATGCAACTGTCTTCAAGACATGTTCCACCTCAGGTGTGCCCATCGGCAACACTGCCAGACGCCCATTTGCACTAATATTCATTACCATGACAGTCACCACACCTTTTTGCTTTCCTCCTTCTACCAAAGAAAGAATGCTGAGGTCTTCAAGCATTGTGGGTTTGTCATCTGTAACATCAGATGTTTCATAAAATCCATTCAGGTCATAAAGCGCACTATTAAACGGAGCAGTTAATACATACGGTCAACCAGCAACCCCTTCTTTAGAGATTCTTCCCATTCAGGTGCTAAGCTTTCGTTAAGTTTCAAATTGAAACTACTCTTATCAGGAAATACAAGCTGAACTCCATCATTCTTATTCTGTGTTGCAAAGTCCTGAAATATACAAAATTCCACTTAAGATAAGAGATAAATACAGTAATGATTGCTTAAAACAGACTAAAAAAAAAATCACTAACCATCTGAAACTCCTGTTCTTTCTGTAGAAGCATATTCAGGAAAACAACTGCTTTTTCAGTGAGTGGTCCTTTTCTCACCCCATAAGGTGCAACTGGCACCGCCATGCAAGGACACTAAAGCACATACACAGTTTACAAATGAATGTAGTACAAAAATACAAGAACTATTACATGGTAAGAGACTTACAGATTTTAATTCACTTGGTAGAGCTTTCATGTCACTGATGGAAATTGGTTCCATATTCCCAAAATCAACAAAAAACACCTCATAATGTTCCTGAATCAAAGTGCTTTCTTCTCGAACAATGCCTCGATAATAGTTTCCGTCTTTTCTGTACTGACATGCAACCATCTCTCCTTTGTAAGGTGCTCTTCCCAGAGGAGGGGCTGCAAAGTAAAATAAACGCATTCAAGAAACTTGTGACACAGCGGACAGACATACTTAATAAGGCTGGTACATAATGTGGGCTTACAAGTTACATGAGCAGCTGCCACCTTCTGCATTAGACAGAAGAATTGCTCCTTGTATGTTCGGCCGGTGGGTCTTACATAAAGAGCATTTTGATTGTGGTAGGCCGTCATAACAACCGTGCAAGGAGGTACTATTTGAACTGCCACAAGTTCATTGGCAGCTGGACTCCATGATGATACAGTAACAACACCAAGTTCTGTCAAACCATCCACTCCCACAGCTTTAGCAGTGAGTCTGTCACCCAAGGAGTTTTCTATTTTTAATTGCAATTGGTTTTCAGGTGCCTAGAGAAACGAGAAAGTTAGCATTAGAGCTTTATCAGTCAATAAACATGTTAGAGAAAATTAGCCCAATAAAGCTTACAAGGGTGGAGCCTTTGCCACTTAATTCCAAAAGCTTGCAAGTCACAGCTAACTCTGGAAGATTGTGAAAGTCAGAAGGCAGTTGGAATATATCCTTCACTTCAATTTTCTTTACACTTCCTAAATCACACAATGCAACAGTAAAGTGAGATGAATGCCCAACAATGGGAGTGTTTAAAATGTATCCTCGCCATATTGAGCTATCCCACTTCACAGCAACCAAAGTACCGACAGTAGGCCTAAAATAAAATGAAGTTGAATGGTAAGCACAAGTTTTAACACAATATGAAAACAGTGGGGGTAAGCAGGGGAAGGAATGTACAGGGAAAGAAACGTACACCCCGTGTAGCCTATCTGGACATCCATCCATTTGACAAGGATTTCACTCTCAGGTTTTCATGTTTCTAAGTATGACTAAAAGTCAAAATGTCAGCTCCAGAAGGGTGTACTTTTCTTGCTCTATACAATTCTTACTCCTTGTAAGGAAGGAAAACATTTTCAGTGCTTACCAGAAATTTAAATTGGCAGGACTTTGCATAACTTTTTCAGGCATTTCAGTAAGTATTTTGTTAGTTATATCAAACAATTCCTTACAGCATAAGCTCCCAGACAACTGTGTTGGCTGCTCTGATGATACATACACAATGGCCTCAGTACCTTCACCCAAGAGGGACACCACATTCTTCTCAGGTTTACCCCTTGTAAAAATAAAAACACAATAATTATTTTTAAAAAAAGAAAAAGAAAAGAAAAGAAAGCATGTTAGGGTGCTAAACAATGGAAGTACCACAAACTGATGGAAGGCAGGTTAGTAGAAAATGAAGATGTCTCTCCTTGGCCAATATTTCTTGAAAGTGGGACAAATTCTGAGGTCCTTTGCATGTTCTCATCAACAACGCTGTCAATAGATCTGAAAGGAAACAAAAAATAAAACCACATCAAAATACATTTTGTATGTTATAGTTAAGTGAACATGATTTTAGGCTCATAGAGAGTAGACAAACTTCTTACATTTGTGCTCTACATCTAGTTCTATGTCGACCAAAATCTTCTCTTTGGCACTTCTTTGAGCAATAAGGAGTTCCACATGACGAGCATTTCTGGACAGTGTTTGACCCACATTTGGCACAATGAAGAAGAGGGACACTTACATCAACACCAACAGATCGCTGTAAAGTGGTCATAAAACAAAAACTATTTGATTTTTTTGTAAAAATTAACAAAAACACTTTGTTTCTTGAGTTATGATATAAATACCTCAAAAGGGTCACACTGCCCAGGAATAGGCTCTGTACTGTAGAAACAAAAACCAAGCAAAGGGAACAATTAAAGTAGGATAGAGGCATCAAAGTGAAAAGCATGGTATTGCTTGATGACTTACTGAGGAGGTATGTATCCACGACCCATTGATACCTGCCGAACTGAATTAGAGCCAGTGGTGATAACAAGGTTCTGAAGCACTCTATTGGACAACTCATGCTGACATGATGCAGAATGATACATCAGACCTCCAGGATCCCTCATATCTGGTACACCATTGGACCAGGCACAGTGTTTGAGACCTGGACGCCTCTCTTGATACCCATTGAAAACATTGAAAATCATCTTCCCTCTACTTTGACCCCGGCCAAGCATCCTAGAAGTAACAGAAAGCTGTACACGAGGCTCCAACAAAAAACGCTCCCTATATAAAACTGAGAAAAATACCTTATTAACTTAAGACTTGAGGGCATAGTGTTTTGAACTTTGTTTGGATTGGCTTGCAAAGAGTTGTTAGAGGTAGATGAATGTGCCATTTGGTACATCCTTTCCTCTCTTTCTTCTTGTAGTCTTTTATTTTTAAGTCTTTCATTTTCTTCATCACTTCGTGCAAATCTCACAATCATATCGAACACCCCATCAAATTCCATAATGGCTCTTTTGGCTTCTCTGTAACAACAATTGCTATTTGTCTACACTAGTTCAACCTACATTTCAAATATCAGGAAAGGAGCCATACAACACTCACTGCAAAGTTTTAAACTCAATCAGGGCCCATTGTAATTGGTTTGATGCTCTTCCTTTGCACTTGGCTACAGTCGGTACACCAACATTTCGGAAAAGATTTTCCAACCCAGTCTGCATGAAGTAAGTCAAAACATATGCACATAAGGATGCAAAATGTCAATAAAATATTACATTAAAATTCAGGAGAGGATGATGCCAATTTATACTGTACCTGTTCGAGACCATAAGGAATCTTAGTAACCATTATCTTGTAAACAACTTGATTGTTACGATCTCTGAAAATCACGGAGTAGCTTATAGGGGGCCAATTGTAAGAGTCAAACTAGGATAGAGGATGATAACCTACCGATATGCAGGACGCTGTAAGTCAACATCCAGATTGGCACCCGGACCATGGTCATAGCAGTTGATGTCTGGATTTTCAAATTCTTCTCTCATAGGATCCCATTGATCATCCATGATGGGATCCGATCTTGAAACATTTTCCAGCGTAATTTGAATATCGTTGTTCATCATCTTGAGAGGTTCAACGTATCCTAAAATAGAGAAGGTAGATCTAAAAAGTTAGAAAACGGTAAAAGGAGAACATGACTAGCTAAATTGAACAGATGATGCCATATGAACAAAAACAAAATGGTACCAGAGGGAAGGACCACTTGACAGCACAGGTGAGTACCAGAACAGTATCACGACAAGCTGCCAAAGACCGTGACTGACATGTTGAGAATGTTGATGGGTGACAACGATAAGGTGTCACAATGATCACGAACACCACTCAACAGGTAAAGGACGGCATGATACCGAAAGAGTAGGGTTATGTAATCCGTCTACTCGAGAAAAACGGACGAGTCTCGAGATAAATAAACACAGTTTTCTCAAACGAGACACACTGCAAGATGCATGCCAGCTGGGCATAAGCCAATGTCACATTTCAGAGTACATGGACAACCGGTAGTGATTGTAAAATGAAAAAGTATGGGCTCAAACAGGACATGCATCAATAAGGCTAGATGGGACAGAGACCTAACAGAGACCTAACAAGACGAGCAAGATTAATCCGTTGAGTAATGCCGGTGAGGGAATTCAAAAGAAACCCAACGCACACGGAACGATAACACAAAACGCCACTACACGTACCGAAACAAGTTAATTTCAACAAATAGTGGCCTACACAGCCGACGATGCACCGTTCGACGCTACCCCATCTGCCGTCACAGCAACTTCTCATACAGACACCTGGTCTAAACTTAACAACTATGAAAGTAGCAAATTGTGCTTCTTTTCATGAAGTATAAGCTGTTAAACTCGTTTAAAAGAAGGTGAAAATTTCTTAAAATTGAATTTTGTTGATAATTTAGACACTAATTCAACCTAAGCGACGTAAAGAGAGTTCTGTAAATTTTGAAGTTTAAGCCTGTCTTGTGGTAGTTCCGTTTGTTTAGGTCCCTCCCCTCCTCCCCCTCGCCTCCTCCGAGCCGCACGAGGAGTAGCTTCTGCTCTGTCTGCCGTCTGCCCTTCAACAGTTTCACGTCGCTGTGATTGAAAGTAGAACCTTCTATCTCTCTGTCGACTAGCTCTTGACAGGGTATTTTCTTCCTTTTGAGTCCATGCTTGAGTGATCAAAATGCAGCACCTATCGCAATCGCAAATTTCTTTGTACATGACCTACCCTACCAAAACAATCACCATGACAACTACTATAAGTTTCTATTTGCACCGATTAGGTGGTTGAGCGTAACAACAAAAGGCTGAGATGTCTGTTGATCTTTTTTCCGTTTTAAAACGAAAGAAAGGAATGTAATTTAGTCCATGTCATGTCTCAGTCACAGAGGCTCCAGACCTCCCCCTCTGCTTCTAAAAGGAGTGTTGCCAGTGATGCTTTGCCTAATCTTTCTGCGACTGCTCTGGGTGGAGGGCCACCCAAGGTTCGCCGCCTGTCCTTATTTCCCCGCAGTGCCACAGATGTTCATGAGCTGTTTGCACCCCCAAGAGAGTTGTTGCGAGAGCCAAAACCCAGACGATTCAAAGCAAAGCCTTGGAAAGATGCTGTTGAGAAACCAGAGACGGTCTGTTTTTGGAAATTATTGATCTGTTTTTATGATGTATGATCTGTTTTTAAGACCATCTGCATTTTTAATTGTTTCTCATAATTTAAGGTGGGGAAATCGTACACTGAGTTGCGCAGAGAAAGAGAGGAGTTTCGTCAGAAGTTGGTGCAACTCATCTTATGTGAGGATGGACCACCAGATGGAACTGAAGAGATTGGAGGAACACAACTGGACTTACCGAGTCGGGAAGAAAGAGTTGTTTTACGTTATTATTACTATATTCGTCAAGGGGTGGACACAGTCCATGTCACAAGACTTGCCAGTGAGTCTCTAAAGCGCATCTTGCATCTTGTTCCCACTAAACTGAAGAAATGGAAAGATTTGCGCCGGGCTCTGACTCAGGAAGTGAAGGTATTGATCATCCTCTTTTTATCATTTCTTTGTTCTCTCAGTACCTCACTAATAAAGGTCTCTCTCAGGAGGACTTCCTCATGAGTGTGAAGAAAGCCATTGTAGATTTTGTTCTTCAAGACACTGCTGAGGGTGACATGAGGATTCCTGAGGAAGATACTGAAGAAAGGAGGACTCTTAAAACAATAAGTAAATCATGGAGTGCTTCTTATGCTGCTGTCCGCAACAAAAATTTACACAACCTTCATGCTGTCAATCCATGCATGGCCCAGGTTTTGGACCTTTGGCAAAAGAATTATACGTATGTGCCCTTCTTACCCCTGGATGTAAATTTTTTAAGAGTGCCTACAATGTGTAGAAAGGACCTCCTTTTCCTTCTAGAGAGTTACGCCTCTTGGAGCTGCAAGAACTTTCAAAAGCCAGATTAGCCGTTGATCTGATGGAATTTCAAACTTGGAGCAGGAAAGCCATTGATTCTGCTAGAAACAAACTCCTGAATGTCTGGTACCCTTCCATACAGAGTATTTATAGTCAAGTTAGTTGCTCCAACTTTGTAATCATGTAAGCTGAAACTGTACTTGGTTTGTGTAATGGTTTACACAGTCATTCATTTTACAGGGCTACAAGAAGAAACTTGTTCCTAGCACAGAAAATAAAACAGCCAACAGAAACTTTTTTAATTGTCTTGCCACTCTAATGTCATACCAGTTGCAGTGTTTGGGCTTATCCTCACTGCATGATTACATGCATTTCATCAATGATATTGGGGTGAGTGCACTGAGTGCTGTGTCACTCCTTGCAGTACATTCTTTAAAAGAAATACAAAAGAAAGTTTGAATTGTTGCAACTAATTTTGTGGTTTATGATTAGTACTCTAATCCAGGTTTTAAAGTGCATTTGAATCTTCGCCAAAAAACAATCCAGTTTGAACCTGCCTTCCACATGTACAGAGATATATTATGTAAATTACTAGATTTATTGGTGGAATCTGTTGGGGATCTCCCTAGAATGGAAAGTCGACTGTATGCTGATTGGGATGGCCCTGTGGAGGAACTTCATGTACCGTATTTTAACCCCTTATTCTTAAGTTGTCTTTTTTATATTAATTTTTATCAATTTATTTATCTTTGCTTTACACTCTTTTGTAGCCTGTAATCCCTGAAGACCTAATTGAGTCATACAAAGAAAATATTAAGGAGCTCATAGAAGAACACAGAATAGGTGTTGAAATGAGAGTAGAAGATTTTGATCCCTACATAAAACTTGTCAACAGTGAGGTTTGTTTAAAAAATATATATTTGGGCTTAACCATTTCAATTAGCCTTCTTTATCCCTCTCTTCTTTTCTAGGCTCAAGAAGAACTTGAAGTCTTTTTATCTGAAGAACACAACTTTGAAGAATATTGTGCTGAAGTCAAGAAGTATTACAAATTGCAAGTGGAAATGCCAATGAACCTAGAACACACAATAACAATGGGTATATTTGATATGCACCGAGCAGAATTTATTGGTGCTTTGGTTCACTCTGCAAAGAACCTCAAAGAGCAGCTGCTGGCCCGCATGACTCAAGACTACCAAGAAATGTGTAAAAAGTAATTTTTCATTTTTTTTTTTTTTTTGTCCTTAGTGCCTACTGAGCACTTTGCATTAATTTTGTCCATTTTTTAATAGACTAGGTGAGGAGTATGCAGATATTGCTGAACGAGCCCTCACAGTGCCAGAATCTACTGAAGAATTAATGGCATTAATTGAATATGTGCAAGCAGTTGAGAGTGATACTGTTGTGGAAATGGAAGATCGGCTTCGTGTTGTTGTGTCTTACATGCTTTTCCTTGCTGATTACACTACTTACTCTCCTATTGAAATGAAACACAATTCCATCACACTTCAGTGGTACAATCGAATGCCCAGTGTATTTGATGATAACAGAGCAATGTGTGAACAGAAAACAGTTGAATTCCAAGAAGCATTAAAGGTCTGCACCCCTCAATAATGTTTCATACATCTGATTTGTTCCTGTACTTTACAGACTCCATGTAAGTCTTTTTATCTCCTTTTGTAGATGAAAATTGAAAGTTTTACTGCTGATTTGGAGGCTTATGCTAAACAAGTTGAGGAATTCCCTAGCTATGGTGATGTTGATGACCTACCAAAATATTTTAAGAAAATGAATCAACTAGATGCTAAACTAGAGCAAGCATTTGAACGTATAGAACAATTCAATGCTGAAGAACGTGCTTTTAGCTTTGAAGAAACAGATTATCCTACATTAAAAATGGTAATAGTCCTTTTTTAATTTCTTTCTGTGGAAAGATAAAATTCATATGAACATTTCACCCTTTAATTTACAGCTCAATGAAGCTCTTGGACCATACAAGAAGCTGTATTCAAATGGCATGGACTTTGTGGAGAAACATCTAATGTGGATGTCTCATCAAGTAGGTTCATTTGAACCAGAGGAGATAGAGAATGAGACAGGTGCCTGCTATCGCAACATACACAAGTTGGAGAAAGCATTGAATGATGCCCCAGCTGCAAAGAACCTTGCCACTGTTGTAAGTTCAAAACTGTCTTTATTGTACAAGCTCCCAAATTTGAAAAAAAATTTAGTCTTTTCTTGAATCCTCAGCTACTAGAGAAAATAGACGAATTTAAACAGCATCAGCCAATCATAAATACTCTTGGAAATCCAGGCATGAAAACAAGACATTGGGAACAGGTAATTTGAACCAAGACAAGCAATTGTTTATAATAATGCATTCAAATGTTCTGAAGTTTTCTTACGCTTCATTTTATCAAGGTGTCTGAATTGGTTGGTTTTCCTCTCCGAGCCGACCCTGATTTGACTTTAGCTCGTGTACTAGACTTAGGTCTTGATGAATATGTACCTCGTTTGGAAGTCATAAGTGAGTCAGCAACTAAAGAAAATAATTTAGAAAAGACTCTTGACAAGATGATGAAAGAGTGGGGAGATATGGAATTTATTGTTGTTCCTTATAGGTAATGATTATTTCTTGCAAGTTTCTTTGAAAACTTGTGTAACTAACCTGAAATAATTTAATCTTTTTATTTATTTTTTATTATTTTTTATTTTTTAGGGACTCTGGAACATATATTTTATCCAGTGTGGATGACATTCAATTAATGTTAGACGATCATATAACTAAGGTGCAAACAATGAAAAATTCACCCTATATCAAGCCTTTTGAGCAAACAATACAGTAAGGGTTCATTTCATATGCCTAGAGTAGCCGTGTGTTCAAGCAGAAATTAATTAAGAGTTATATTTACAGAGTCTGGGAAGGTAAACTAATGTTACTTCAAGATGTTTTGGATGACTGGCTCAAAGTGCAGAGCACTTGGTTGTATTTAGAACCAATTTTCTCTTCACCTGATATTCAACAGCAAATGCCTGAAGAAGGAAGACGATTTTCAGCTGTCGATAAGGCAAATAAACTGAAACTTATTATGTCTTGTTAAATTTGTTAACGCTAATGTACCCACATATTTGCTTCTTCTTAGGTGTGGAAAGATATCATGAAAGCAGTCTTAACAGATTTGCATGTCCTGGTTGTTCTTGAAATTGAGAAGTTATCAGAACGCTTGAAAAAGAGCAATCAATTGTTGGAGCTAATTCTCAAAGGCCTTAATGAGTATCTGGAGAAAAAACGTGCATTCTTTCCAAGATTCTATTTTCTGTCTAATGAAGAATTACTTGAAATACTTTCTGAAACCAAAGATCCCACTCGGTGTGTTATCAAATTTTGAATGAGTAAACTTGTTCCATGAGTTAATTCAATTTATAAGCAGCAATCAAGTAATTATTTCTTACAGAGTTCAGCCCCATTTGAAAAAATGTTTTGAAGGTATAGCCAAGCTCACTTTTACTGATGATCTGGATGTGACTGTGATAAAATCTAGTGAGGGTGAAGAGGTGGCACTGGTTGATGTCATATCCACAAGCAAGGCTCGTGGGCAAGTTGAAAAGTGGCTTCTTGAACTCGAAGCGGATATGAAGAAAAGTGTTAGAAAGGTAAGGAACTACTCCACAAAGCCCTTCCAACAACCTACATTTTTGAAGCTAATTCCAGAAATTTTAATTTTGTTTTCAGATGGTTTGTGATGCGATGGAGGCTTATCCAACAAAAGCTCGTTCAGAGTGGGTGTTTGACTGGCCTGGCCAAACGGTTCTATGTGTTGCAATGACTTATTGGACTTCCCAAGTTCATGAAAGCATAAGAGGCGGTGAAAAGGGCTTGCAAGCCTTCCTTGAAAAGAGCAATTTTGAAATAGGTCAAATAATTGAATTGGTTAGAGGCAAACTATCAACGCAAACGCGTATAACTTTGGGTATGTTGGTTTCAGAGCCTTTAAAAGTTGAAAACAAGAATATCTGCTTAATGTTTCTTTGGCATTGCTTGTCTCTACTTTGTACATTCAGGTGCCCTTGTGGTTTTGGATGTCCATGCTCGAGATGTTTTAGCAGGCTTGGTTAATCAGAAGGTATCTAGAGAGGATGATTTTGCTTGGCTCTGTCAGCTTAGATACTATTGGGAAGTGAGTTATATTTCGTTAATAATAATTAATTCATAATTTATGAATAAGGTTTTCTCTGATTAATATAATTGCTTTGGGCCATACCTCCCTTGCAGGAAGACCAAATGGCTACTCGGATGATAAGTGCCCAATTGATGTATGGGTATGAGTACTTGGGTAATTCACCTCGTCTTGTCATAACGCCATTGACAGATCGTTGTTATCGCACTCTCTTTGGAGCTCTGCAACTACATCTTGGAGGAGCCCCTGAGGGCCCCGCAGGAACTGGAAAAACAGAAACAACCAAAGATCTGGCAAAAGCTGTTGCAAAGCAGTGTGTTGTTTTTAACTGCTCCGATGGTCTTGATTATATTGCACTCGGAAAGTTCTTTAAGGTATGGCCAAGTGCCTTGGATATCCTGTCCCTCACTCTAATACTATGTGGTACACTCTTTGGAGCTCTTTGAATTTTTGAAGTGAGAAGCCCATTGGCTTTTGAACATATACTAACCCTATCTCAGTTGTTTTTCTGTATCAAAATCATCATTTTTTGTTTCAGGGCTTAGCATCTTGCGGAGCATGGGCTTGTTTTGATGAATTTAATCGTATTGATTTGGAAGTTTTGTCAGTAGTAGCTCAACAAATCCTGACCATTCAACGTGGAATCAATTCAGGAACTGAACGGATTATGTTTGAAGGTTCAGATATTCCTCTTGACCCTACTTGTTCTGTTTTCATTACTATGAATCCTGGTTATGCTGGTAGATCTGAACTACCAGACAACCTTAAGGTATGTTTTCTTTTTGCCATCTAAAAAGATTAGCACTTGAACAATTATTTCGATTAGAAAACAGGTTTTGTTTTTTGTAGGCTTTGTTCCGGTCTGTTGCTATGATGGTTCCAGACTATGCCATGATATCAGAAATAGTACTGTATTCATGTGGCTTCATCAATGCCAGACCCCTAGCTGTGAAAATTGTTGCCACTTACAAACTATGCTCAGAGCAGCTTTCATCTCAGTGTCATTATGACTACGGTAACAATATATAATATTCTACACACAACTTTCACTTGTCCATTGCAGTTTTGCCAATCATTAATTTTAATATGTATTCAGGAATGCGAGCAGTGAAATCAGTTTTGATTGCTGCGGGGAACTTAAAGCTGAGATATCCTGAAGAATCAGAAGATATATTGATGCTGCGCTCCATCAAAGATGTTAATCTGCCTAAGTTTTTGACTCATGACTTACCTCTGTTTCTTGTAAGTTGTGTGCCAGTTTCCCAATTCCATGAAGTTGTTTGTTATTGGTCTCAAGTTTTTCTTTTTTTCCTCAGGGAATCACTTCTGATCTATTCCCTGGTGTCATCCTACCCAAACCATCATATGATGTGTTGAACAAAGAAGTACGAGCTGCCTGCCAGTCAGCCAACATCCAATGTACTGATCACTTTTTAGAAAAAGTTCAGCAAATTTATGAAATGATGATTGTTCGCCACGGTTTTATGATTGTGGGCTTACCATTTGGTGGAAAAACAACAGCTTACAGAATGCTTGCTGATGCCTTGGGAAAAATTGAAGAAAGTGTTAGTGACAAATATGTTGTTATTTATTAAAATCCTGCATGTGTTACACAAACCAGTTCAGTTAACATTAATTTTCTTTCAGGGAGAAATGGAGGAAAATAAAGTACAAATTACTGTTATAAACCCTAAGTCTATCACTATGGGTCAGTTGTATGGTCGGTTCGACCCAGCATCTCATGAATGGTCTGACGGTGTTTTGGCTATTTGCTACCGCCAGTTTGCAGCTTCAACATCACCTGATAGGTTTGTTCATACCGAATAAAGCAGTTCAGCTTTGTGTTCTTGCCTTAGATTTCAAGTTCAACACTCATCCCCGTAGCCTGCATGTTGTCGTCTCTTTATGGGATCCTGACAACTGCTTTGCTGTGAATTAACACCAAGTTTGCAACTAATGTTCCTTCATTTTTTCTTCTTAGGAAATGGTTGATATTTGATGGGCCTGTGGATGCTATTTGGATTGAAAACATGAATACTGTGTTGGATGACAATAAAAAATTATGCCTTATGTCTGGTGAAATAATTCAGTTGTCTCCAACCACTAATCTTATTTTTGAGCCAATGGACTTGGAGGTGGCCTCTCCTGCTACGGTGAGTATCCTTGTTTTCAAGGGACATATAGAGCAAAGTTGATCAAATTGAAGTACTTTGGACTTTGTTGTAGGTTTCCCGTTGTGGAATGATATACATGGAGCCTTCCACTCTGGGCTGGGAAGTCATCGTGGTATCATGGTTGAATACTTTACCCACAGCAATCAATGATCATAACAAGACTATGATTAAGTCTATGTTTTTGCGATTTTGCCCACCTCTTCTTTGGATAATTAGGAGAGGATACACAAAGGTAACATGATAAATGAACTAAGTCATTCATTTAATCAACAATTAAATTTTCGGCAGAGACATTTGACATTTGTTAATAATACGATAATGAAGATAACTGTACAATTTTACTTTCAGGAAATTTCTCCCACTCTTGATTCTAATCTTGTTCGATCGCTTACAAGAATTTTTGATTGTTATATGGATGATTTTGGAGATCCTGCTTTTGTAGAAGGTATCTCAGACTTGGATATTAGAGCCCAGCTAGAGGTATTATCAAATTAAGAGCGATCGAAGTACTTAGGTTGGACAGATACATCACTCTAACTGCTTTTGTCTTTTCAGGGTGTGTTTTTCTTTTCATGCATTTGGGCTTTGGGGGGCAACTTAGATTCTGCAAGCAGAGAGAAGTTCAGCACGCTATTTCGGGGTTTGCTTGAAAAAGAATTTCCTGCAAAACTTAAGTCAGACTTTGGACTTTTAGAAAATGTTCCTCCACCTGTGAAAAACTACATTTTTACCATTCCAACTGATGGCCAGGTGTTTGACTACAAATTCATTAAAGAGGTGCCAGGTTCATTCTGCAGTTTACCAACTGTAATTATCAGCTTCTGAATTTAAAAGAACTCTATTGTCTGCCTTGTAGGGTAAAGGAAAGTGGAAACTGTGGGCAGATGATCTTGCTAACTGCCCCCCTATTCCACGTGATGTTCCTGTTAATCAGATCATAGTTCCTACTATAGAGACAATACGATGCACCACTCTTATGATGATGCTCTCCACTCACATGAAGCCTTTGATGTTAATTGGTCCAACTGGAACAGGAAAATCAGTGTACACCTCAGTAAGAATTTAAGTAATTATATTTTATGGTTTTTCCTTTCTGCAAAGTGTATGTACATGTAAGAAATATATATTTTTCTTTCAAGGATTTTCTCTTGAAGAAGCTTGATTCCAATCAGTACAAGGCCCTCTTTATTAACTTTTCTGCTCAAACATCGGCAAATCAGACCCAGGACATCATAATGAGTAAACTGGATAAGCGACGGAAAGGTATGAGTTTTAATACGTGGCTGTTGGAAATTCCTATTCTATATTATTTTACAAAATCATGCTTCTCATTCAAAATATTGTTTATGATTCCCTGTTAGGTGTTTATGGACCACCATTGGGCAAAGTTTGTGTTGTCTTTATTGATGATGTGAGCATGCCTATGAAGGAGACCTATGGTGCACAGCCACCTATTGAAATTTTGAGACAGCTCCTAGACCATGAACAGTGGTATGATCGCAAGGACATTGTGCCCATGAAAATAGTTGATTTATTGGTGTGTTTTGTTTGTTTATCTCAATATTCACTTTACTGCCTGAGTCATGCATATTATTTTTACTTTATTCCCTTTATTCTCTTCAGATGATGTGTGCAATGGGTCCACCTAGTGGAGGCAATACTGTTACACCACGATTTTCTAGACATTTCAACCAACTCTGTATTAATGAATTTAATGATGAAACTATGATAGCTATTTTCAGCAAAATTATGCTATGGCACCTTGACACAAGGTATAAAATAAAATATAATAGAATGAAATATAATTTAATTCAAAGATGTGACTCTACACTCTCTTTCTTTTAAAATCGCAGGGGTTTCAGCAAGGAGTTTGATCCATGTATCGATGAAATAGTTCTTGCCACATTAGATGTCTACAAACAAAGTTTATCAAACTTACTTCCAACTCCCACCAAATCTCATTATTTGTTCAATCTCCGAGACTTCTCAAGAGTTATTCAGGCATGTGGCCATCGTTGTGCAATTATTTTTTTATCAATTGATTGCAAGGTATAATTTTGTTTCTGTTCATTAGGGTGTGCTCCTTTCTGTTCCTGAGACAATGGAGGATCTCATTGCTATGAAAAGGTTGTGGGTTCATGAAGTGCTTCGTGTTTACTATGACCGCTTAGTTGATGACAACGACCGCTCTTGGTTAATAAACACATTACATGCAATTTGTAAGCCAAGGCTATCAGAGGACTTGAACAAAATGTTCTCTCGAATAGCTACCCCAGGGCAACCTGTAAGTAATGACCCATCAGTGGCACTATAATTCCATTTTTCCCTCTGATGTTTGCAAAGAAAACTGTATTTGATGTTTCAGGTCGGTGAAGCTGAACTCCGGAAATTAATATACTGCGACTTTACTGATCCAAAAGCTGACACACGTCATTATCTAGAAGTTCAAGATTTGGATCACCTCAGGGGTGTAACTGAAGGCTATCTCGTTGAATTTAATAACATGACAAAAAAACCTATGAACCTTGTTCTCTTTAGGTTGGTGTATAAATAGCTATATCTTGTGATTAATTAATATGTCTCTCTGATTTGTTGAATTTATATCATTTGTAGGTTTGCTGTAGAGCACTTATCTCGGATATGCCGAATTCTGAAACAGCCAAGGAGTCATGGTCTTCTTGTTGGAGTGGGTGGTTCTGGAAGGCAGTCCCTTACTAGACTAGCAACACACATATCAGAATATGACTTTTATCAGGTACTGCTGGAATTAAATGTCTATCTTCTCAGTTAAACAATTTGTAAAAAATAACATATTTTTTTTAGGTTGAGATGACTAGGACATATGGATCTGATGAGTGGCACGAAGATCTGAAGAACATTCTAAGCAAGACAGCAGGCACTGATGTCCATGGCGTTTTCCTGTTTACTGACACTCAAGTATGTATGTGGGCTGTGATGCTGGGAGTACCTAGAATCCTAGATCTTTAGGGCCGCCAACTAGGGGTTGGTGAGTTAACAGAGATTTTTGTCTTCTTCTTGTTTTCAAATTTTAGATCAAGGAAGAAACCTTCCTAGAAGATATAAATAACTTGCTGAATTCTGGGGAAGTTCCAAATCTTTTCCCATCGGATGAGAAAATGGAAATCTGTGAAAAGATGAGAGTTCTTGACCGCCAAAAGGAAAAGTCTCAGCAGGTAGTGTTACCATAATACCGTCATAAAGTAAATAGATAAAAATTGCCTTCGCTCTGAAATTCATGCTTCAATTCTTTTCCTCAGACTGATGGAAGTCCTGTTGCTTTGTTCAATATGTTTGCTCAAATTGTTAGAGAACAACTGCACATTGTATTAGCAATGAGTCCTATTGGTGATGGATTCCGCAACAACATCCGCAAATTCCCATCTATTGTTAATTGTTGCACAATCGATTGGTTCCAGGTATGACAATTCATTTTGGTAAAAAACTGTTAGCATGTTTTCGTTTGCATGGTTTTTATATGTACTTCTTTGCAGCCGTGGCCGGAAGATGCACTTCAGGCGGTTGCAACACGATTCCTAAGTGAAATTGAGCTTCCACATTCTGAAAGAGAGGCTTGTATTGAAACTTGCAAAATGTTTCATACCAGTACTCACTCTCTATCAAGGGAAATGTTGACAAGATTCAATCGAAAAAGCTATGTTACACCAACTTCTTATCTTGAACTAATTTCCACTTTTAAGACTCTTTTGTCCAAAAAAAGATCGTGAGTGTTCCTGTACCTCATAACATTTTCCTAAAAATTTGGGTGAGAGCATTGAATTTAAACTTTTTCTTTCTCAGAGACATCCTCACTGTCAAATCAAGGTACGAAGTTGGGCTTGGGAAGTTGGATAGCGCTGCTGAACAAGTAGGACTCATGCAAAATGAACTAGTTGCATTGCAGCCAAAGTTGCTTGAGGCTTCAGCTCAGGTTCAGGTCATGATGGCCAAAGTTGAGTCAGAAAGTGCTGATGTTGCAAAGGTGAGTGAAAACTGTTCAAAATGATAGTTTGGTTATTTGTTGATATTAAAATCTTAAAACTACTGTTTTTCTCTTTGCTTTTTTATTAAACCATTAAATAAATGAATAAATATTTAGGTTGCAGAGGTAGTAAAAGCAGATGAAGAGGTTGCCAATGAACAGGCAGCAGCTGCCCAGGCTATCAAGGATGAATGTGATGCTGACTTGGCAGAGGCATGGCCTATAATGGAGGCTGCCCTGGCAGCACTTAACACACTCACTCCAGCAGACATTACTGTAGTGAAAGCAATGAAGAACCCTCCCAAAGGTGTCAAGATTGTCATGGAAGCTATCTGTATCCTCAAGGTCTGAAGGCGTTTATAAGCCTGCACAAATCTTATCATACTGTGATTCATCATCCAAACATTTATGTAATCATGTTTTAAAAAAATATTTCAGGAAGTTAAACCAGATCGTATTCCAGACCCCACTTCTGGAAAGATGACAGAAGACTACTGGGGCCCTTCAAAGAGAGTTTTGAACGACATTAAATTCCTAGAAAGCTTGATTTTGTATGATAAAGACAATATACCACCTGCCATTATGCAGAAATTGTTTAAATCAATTCTGAATGATGAAAGTTTTGATCCTGACAAGATCAAGTCTGCATCTACTGCTGCTGAGGGTAATTAGTAATATGTATGATTATGTCTGAGCGTATGGTAAGAAATGGCGTTTTCCTAAGTTACAAGTAAAATGTATGTCTTAATTACAGGCTTATGCAAATGGGTTATAGCGATTTCCAAATATGATAAAGTAGCTAAAGTAGTTGCACCTAAAAAGGCTCGATTGGCAATAGCTGAGGGTCAGTATTCAGTGGCCATGCAAGCATTGGAGGTGAAACGGAATCAACTGAAAGAAGTTCAAGATAAGTTAAAGAAACTGGAAGATGTAAGTTCAAATTTTATTGTTCGTAAGGTTGTTTATGATTGATTTTCAAAAGTGTAATTTTATACATACTATTTAGGTTCTGGAATTGAACAAAAGTCGCATGCAAGAACTTCAAGATGACACGGATCTTTGTAAACTTAAACTTCAAAGAGCTGAGGAATTGATTGGAGGCTTGGGTGGAGAGAAATCAAGATGGATGTCCACAGCTAAAGCGTTAGGAGAGCGTTATTACATGTTAACTGGTAAGTAAAAATTGCTATTGATAAATGGTTGCATTTTTTTTAAAGACTGACTACTGTAAAATAAAATCTATCTACTTTCTTCAGGTGATGTTTTGATTGGGGCTGGTGTTGTGGCCTATCTGGGGCCATTCCCTGCTCAAATGAGAGCAAAGCAAATTTCAGAATGGATTCAGTTGGTGTCTAGTTTTAGCATAGTTTGCTCATCTGATTTTGCTCTGACTACCACTCTAGGAGATGCAGTGGAAATTCGTCAATGGAATATATTTGGACTACCAACTGATTCATTCTCTGTAGAAAATGCCATTATTGTCAAGTGAGGCTTCCTCCAATTATTTATAAAAATATTGTGTAGTAGCCAGCTTTAGTGTATTATTCATTTCCTCTATATGTATGTTGTGTAAACCATTAAAGTTAATGTTTTGATTTCAGAAATGCTCGTCGTTGGCCTTTAATTATTGATCCACAAGGTCAAGCCAACCGCTGGATTAAAAATATGGAGAAAGCTAACAATTGTTCTGTTGTTCGATTATCAAATCCCGACTACATGCGTGTGCTGGAAAATTGTATCCAATTCGGTCAGCCTGTAAGTTTGTCTTTCATAGTTTTGACTTACATAATTCTTGCAAATGTTTAATTAAGACCTGAACTTTCATTCTTGGCAGGTCCTTATGGAAAACTTGGGAGAAGATCTGGATGCTGTTCTGGAACCCCTACTTCTTCGACAAGTTTTTAAACAAGGAGCAGGAATGTGTATAAAACTAGGAGATAGTGTTGTAGAGTATAATGACAATTTCCGATTTTATATGACAACAAAACTGCGAAATCCACACTACTTACCAGAAATAGCTGTGAAAGTCACACTCTTGAACTTCATGATTACACCTGATGGGTTGCAAGACCAGCTGTTGGGTATAGTCGTTGCCAAAGAACGACCTGATCTGGAAGCTGAAAAGAACCAGCTTATTGTTCAAGGAGCAGAAAATAAGAGGTACTGTGACTACCATGAGATTATGTTCTTTTCCATCCGCAGCATGAGTACAAACATGTAACTTATTTCTTGTCTTGAAGAATGCTGCAGGAGATTGAGGATAAAATATTGTTTGTCTTATCATCTTCTGAGGGCAATATACTTGAAGATGAAACAGCTGTTCAAATCCTTAGTTCATCTAAATCTCTTGCCAATGAAATAGCTGAGAAACAATCAGTTGCTGAAGTGACTGAAAAATCAATTGATTCTGCCAGACTAGTCTACTCTCCCATTGCGGTGCACTCAACCATTCTCTTCTTCACGACAGGTCTGATATCGAACTGGGCTTCATAAGCTCATTTCTTTTCCTCAGCTCACCTTATTAACTGTTACCAATAATTTTCCAGCGGACTTGGCAAATATTGACCCAATGTACCAGTATTCTTTGTCATGGTTTGTTAATTTATTCAAAATGACTATTGATAACACAGATCCTGTAGATGAAGTAAATCAACGAATTGTCGGTCTCATCAATGGTTTTACCTATGCTCTGTATTGCAATATCTGTCGCAGTCTTTTTGAAAAGGTATGTTACATTGGTAGAAAGACTTACAAACTTGATACAATGGCTCTTTTGTGTGTTACATTACATGATAATTTTAACCTGTGTCTTAATTTTGTGCAGGACAAGCTCCTGTTTTCTTTGGTACTATGTGTTAATTTAATGAAACAAGAAAACAAAGTAAATGGGGAGGACTGGATGTTTTTCCTAACAGGAGGAGTGGGCTTGGATAATCCACATCCCAACCCAACCGTATGGTTGGATTCTCCTTCTTGGGACACTATGTGTCGTTTGGATGACATTCCCTCATTCCAAGTACTAATGTGATTCATGTCTTCTGTTTACTAAATCTATCACTATGAGTTGTACTATTAATAATGTGGCTTTTGTTTGTATGTTTTTCTAGGGTATACGTGCTGATTTTGAAAGTAACGTAGGAGCGTGGAAGTCATATTTTGACAGCGCAGAGCCTCAAAACACAGCCATCCCTGGATCCTGGAATACAAAGCTAAATGAATTCCAAAAACTTCTCATTTTGAGAGCCTTACGAGCTGATAAAGTTGTCTCAGGCATTCAGAATTATCTTTCCGGTATTCATCATTTCTCTTCTTCAATTTGACTAAGAAACTGTAGTGGCTGAGCTTTGTCCCTTCTCATATCATGCCTGTTTTGTTTCAACCAGCCAATATGGGAAGCAAATTTGTGGAGCCACCACCTTTTGATTTGATTTCATCATTCAATGACTCGCATAGCTGCATTCCTCTCATATTCATTTTGACTCCGGGTGCAGATCCTACAGCAATTCTCTTGAAATTTGCTGATGATCAGGTACAGAAATGATTCCTATACCAATTATACTACAAAAAAATCTTACATATGAACGTTTCCTTTTGTTTTTTGAAGGGATTTGGTACCAATCGCTTATTTTCTCTGTCACTGGGACAAGGCCAAGGGCCAATAGCAGTGAAACTGATAGAGGAAGGTGTGAAAAGCGGTACATGGGTTGTTTTGCAAAATTGCCATCTGGCCAAAAGCTTCATGCCTACACTGGAAAAGGTTAGCATTTGTTAATCTTTTATTATTTTAGATACTCACAATGTGTTATCCCAATTTTCCTCTAATTCTCATGATAGATTGTGGAAAACTTGTCACCCGAAAACACTCATCCTGACTTTCGTTTATGGTTGACTTCCTATCCTACTGAACATTTCCCTGTACTGGTTCTGCAAAATGGTGTGAAAATGACCAATGAGCCACCTAAAGGACTGCGGGCCAATATAATTCGGTAAGTCTCTCTCTTTAATCACAGCATTTGTTTGATTGATCTGGACTCAATAACATTCTATTGAAATTCTAGGTCCTTCTTGAGCGATCCTATTACAGACCCAGAGTGGTTTGAAAGTTGTCATCAGAGCGACATATTCAAACAAATGTTGTTTGCTCTGTGCTTTTTCCATGCTGTGGTTCAAGAGCGACGCAAATTTGGTCCTCTTGGCTGGAACTTCCCCTATGAGTTCAATGAAACAGATTTGCGAATAAGCGTACAGCAACTTCACATGTTCTTGGATTTGTATGAGGTAATTCAACAGTTATTAATCAGAATTTTGGGATGATTAAAACTGACTCGAATGCATTTGATTAAGACTGACTTGAATGCATGTGATTAAAAACATTCAGGAGGTCCAATATGATGCTCTTCGATATCTTACTGGTGAATGCAACTACGGTGGAAGAGTGACAGATGACTGGGATAGAAGGTGCTTGAACACCATCCTCTCAAAGTTTTATTGTTCTGAACTTGTAGGAAATGCTGATTATGCCTTTGATCCATCTGGTAACATCTTAGTTGTTATAAGATAATTCCATTTGCCTATATTTTCTTTGTAAATCAATCAACACCCTCTCCTGTATTCATTTTTTATAGGAAAGTACAAAGTGCCAATTTATAAAGAATATGAGGCTTACCTTTCATATATCAAGAGCCTCCCCTTGATAACACATCCTGAGGTGTTTGGGATGAATGAAAATGCTGATATAATCAAAGATCAGCAGGAGACAAGTCTTCTGTTGTCTACAATACTTCTGACTGAGGTAAATTTCTACGCTTATTTTATCTTGCATAAAAACTGATAAAAACCAAAATTACAACCAGAAATTAGACTTATCTTTGTTTTTTTTTGTATTTTCAATTAGATTGTCTGGCTGCTTTAATTTTGCTCTGCTTGTTAATTTATGCCCATTCCTTAATTTTCATGCTCTCAGGATAGAGTTGTAAGTACATTTGTTCTTATTTTATGTGGGCTACATTTGTAAGCTACTATGTGCTACTACTTTTTGCAATTTCCTTTTTTATTGTGCTATATTGCTACTTAGGATCTCTTAGCATTAGAGAAGATGGAAGCGGTGAGTTTTACTTTTGATCCTTGTGCTGTGTTCCTTTATTTATTACCAGAGTAAACATTTTTATTTACTAAATCTGGGATAACAAACAATGCTCATCTTTTGGTGCCTCTTAAGGATGTGGCTGCAGCTGGGACTGGAAAGAAGTCTCAAGATGAGGTCGTCATTGAGCAATCTGCCGATATCATCAGCAGGCTGCCAGCCAACTTCGATACGGAAATTGCAATTTTGAAGTACCCAACAATGTACGAACAGTCCATGAATACGGTTCTTATTCAAGAAATGGGTCGGTTCAATATTTTATTGACATGTATTAGGGAAAGTTTAATCAGTGTTCAAAAGGCAATCAAAGGTTGTATTTTTGTTTTGATTTACAATTATTTTATGTATGCAAATACATTAACACATGTTTTTTGTTTACTCATTTTTATTCTAACTTTTTGGAATTTCAGGAGAAATAGTCATGTCCTTAGAATTGGAAGGTGTGGTGAACAGTCTTCTTACTTCAAGGATTCCTGCTGTATGGGCCAAAAAGTCGTACCCTTCACTAAAACCACTTGGGAGTTATATAAATGATTTTCTTCTGAGGTTGGAATTTCTTCAGGTAATGTAATGTGAAGCACCTCATAACAAATCTTGAAGCTGACTTAGACTTCTCTGGAACCCTTTGCCTTAAAGTCCCTGCTTGGTTTTAGAAATGGTATGACAATGGCCCCCCAGCAGTTTTCTGGTTGTCTGGATTTTACTTCACTCAAGCATTTATGACAGGAGCCCAACAAAACTATGCCAGGAAATACTCTATTCCTATTGATTTACTCACTTATGATTTTGAGGTAAGTGGTCTTTATTGTCTTTATGATGAAGTCACACTCAATAGCGCCTTCTTTACTTGAACTTTTCATTCCTGATACAGGTTCTTGTTGATGAAAAACCACAGAGTCCACCTTCTGATGGTGTCTATATTCATGGTCTTTTCCTTGATGGAGCCCGCTGGAATCGTGATAGCAAAACTTTAGATGAGTCATATCCTAAAATTTTGTCAGACCCAGTGCCTGTGGTATGTTTGTATTTGTATGGGGCCTGCCTTAGTATTATAACAATTTGAATAAATTACTGACTTAAACATGCTTTAATTGCAGATTTGGTTCCAACCTATCAAAGTTGCAGATGTGAAGGAGAGGGGTACTTATAACTGTCCCCTTTACAAAACAAGTGAGAGGCGTGGGGTCCTTGCTACCACAGGTCATTCCAGCAACTTCATCATTGCTATAAAAATCCCCACATCCAAACCACCAGATCATTGGATATTGAGGGGCACTGCTCTGCTGTGCCAGCTTTCTTCCTGATGAAGTTTATTGATAAATTTGCTATTTTAGTTGCAAAGTTGTGTGTCATTAGTTAAAAGGATTAAAATTAAAAAGGATTTTTTAAGTAATTTGCTTTTTAAGAAAAGAAAATGACTTTATTTGGAGTACAATACAGGTAACAATTCTTTCAAGGAATCATAAATTAAAATTCAATGTTGAATGGCCAGTCCTTGCTCTCCTTGGCTCTGCAAACAAAAGGGAATGTTTGAAAAAAAAAAATGAAACAATGACTTACAGCAGTACAATCAAATTTTGCAAAAGGCTTACTCATTAAATGGGCATATGCGGCCATTGCAGTCCAACCCATCCAGGACCTTAATATCTTCAGGTGTCAGTTCAAAGTCAAATATCTCAATGTTTGAGCGAATACGAGAAGGAGTAACGGACTTGGGAATGGGAACAGTGCCACGTTGAATCTACAAAGACAGATTACAAGTAAGTAACTGTTTGATATGGATAAAATAAAACTAATGATAATTTGATTCTGACTCTTACCAAGTAACGCAGAATGACATGGGCATTTGACTTTTTGTACTTGTCTGCAATGGCTTTGATAACAGGGTCATCAAGCAGGGAAGGGTCAGTTGGCTTAGCCCATGGCCTGTCAGGGGATGCAAATGGACTGTAGGCTGTGACCAGAATGTCCCTCTCCTTGCAGTAGGAAATAAGCTTGCTTTGGTTGAGGCAGGGGTGCACTTCAATCTAGAAAAAAGGATTACATAACAATCTTTGAAAAATGGAAAATATAATCCTGAATATTTGTGAACCTATCAAGTGTTTTAAATGGTACATCTGCCCCCCAGACAATGTAACTCAACACGTTCACACTAAAAGGGTTAACCACCAAATTTTAAGATTTTACTAATTTTCACCAAATGCACCTGTCACAATTAACATCATAAGAGTGACCTTGTCAATATTCCAAGTGAGATTCACCTCAAGGTGGCAGCCTCAGCCTAGCTTCAGAGTAGAGACAAGTCAATTCTTATCAGTTACAGATAGTGTACTATCACAAGTATAACACCTCTAGGGGCACACATTAGGAATATTCCATCTACTGATCAATTAAGTAAAAAATCATTCACCGAGAAAAGAATTGGACAGGATAGGAAAATGTAACAAAGGTGAAGTAGCTTTAACTAGGTACCTGGTTGGTAACTGGCTTAATCTTGGCCACAGCAAGGAGACGGGCAAGTTGCTCACTGTTGAAGTTAGAAACTCCAATACTCTTTACAAGGCCCATCTGAACGCACTCTTCCATTGCCTTCCATGTGTCCAGATAATCTGCGTCACTGAATAACATCTTGCCATCCTTATCCATAGGGAAAAGGCCTTGTCCTTCCTGCAATTATTTTTTAGAAAAAGGGAAAAAAAACACACATTGAATTAAATTTAAGTATGATGAAAAGCGAACACAGGAATAAGGCTCAACAGCACCTTAAAGGCCATTGGCCAGTGGACAAGGTACAAATCTAAGTAGTCCAAACCAAGGTCAGCAAGGGTCCTCTTGCAAGCTCCGACAACGAGCTCAGGTTTGTGGTATGCATTCCACAGCTGAATAAAAACACACGAAAGTCATCATCAAAGGTGAAGATCTTAAACTAGGAGCAAAAGGAGATGGTAAAAATATTTCACTTACCTTGCTTGTAATGAATAAATCCTCCCTCTTCACAACGCCCTCCTCAATCTTGGCCTTGATGCCTTCCCCAACTTCTTTCTCATTCTCGTAGACATGGGCACCATCAATGTGGCGGTAACCAGCATCAATAGCAGCCTTTACAGCCTCTGTTACTTCACCAGGCTTCGACTGAAACAGTACCCAGTCACATGGTAATAAGAGATACAGGCCTGGCTGTCTACAAACAATGTGGGTGCCAGAGCAGACCCAATGCCATGGCCTTAGCTACGATGGCCTTGGCCTTGGCCGCGGTCGCGGACGGCTGGAGGCCCCTCCAAAACCTCTACGCCACAAGTTGGGCGGCGTTCCACGGCTGTTGTACGCACCTTCCACGTGCCGAGTCCCAGGACGGGGATCTCCTTGCCGTTGTTGAGGCGAACCGTGGGCGCTAGCTTGGTTGTCATGTTGAGGTAATGGGGCACTGCACCGCTGAATCGGGACTGGCGGCGAATGGGAGCGCTGTCGCTGTCGCCAATGAGACGGCGATGGCAGCCACTGCCAAGCAACGCGAGGATTTCGGTGGTGGCAGCTTTGGCGGCGACGGTCAAGTGAGCGGCGGAGAGGGGGGTTAGAAGAAGACGCATGTGATTGTGATGGCCCGCGCCGCCGCTCGCCAACCAAACTAGACGTAGATAGAGGAGGGGAGGGGGCGGGGGAGGTGATGTCAGTTGACATGACATCCACAGACGGTCAACAAGGAAACCGGCGATGACATTGGGTACTTCTATAGTTCATCCACGGCGTTTGTTGCAAGGATTTCGACAGCGTCTTTATTTCCAAAGGATTTTTCCTGAAATAATTTTCAAGGACTCTTTTTGTTGGGCCAAGTTCACGGAAGAGCAGACAAGCAGACGACACAAGGTTTTATACGGAAGCTTCAAACAGCCAACCTCGGGGCAACAAAATTTTCTGTGATTGTAAATGAAATTGAACACACCGTGGCCGACCAATGATACATGACGTAGAACCAGTTCAGAGCTTGTACGAGGCTAACGTTTAACATAAAATTTTTGCACGAGTTATTGTTTTGAATGTCTTTTGAGATGGAAGTTTTGATTTGGTCGGTAACCATTCCGGCACCGGCAATCTGTTTCCGGTTGAGAATCAGCTGTTTGGCTGAGCTAGCGCAGCTAGCGGCTGGAGCCGTTGGTTGATTGCCCATTGTTAGTGAAGGTTTCCCACTTTCCTAGCAACGGTAAACTGCGATTGGAAGCAATTTGAAGCGGTATTTGTGCGCCTGCAACGCAGAATCCAAGGTCTCTTGAGAAGGAATACCCACGTACGTACATGCGATGATGCGATAAGGGAGGAGGAGGCACCATCTGCATATTAGAAAGGAACTTACACACGTCTGTGCGGAAGATTTTAACTGGTTGCCAGAACGAAAATTATCCATTCACCTGCGTGCGTACCCTCTTCTTCTTCTACAAGTGTTAAATGCATTTCCACGGTGTTACTTTCGCGCTCACAATTTTTCATATAGGTAACCTGAGGTCATGAGCACATCTGGCAACCCTGTAGATTGGTGTGTTAAAGAAGAAATCGCTATGATTGTTATTATGTAGACAAACTGGCTTCCTCGTGCTACCTGTGAGTATAATTTATTATTTTGAGCTGCTCTGGGTAATTCGTCCTCTTCGCAAGAAGCAGAAGAGTTATTGGCGTAAGTTTAAATTCATGAGATGATTTGTAGGACTCTGAATGCAAACCTACACTGTGATTTAGCCGCCGAAACCAATCACCGTACTCATCTCCCATATTTTCGTTCCACTTGTCGATTTTTAGAGCAAAATTCGGATATTATCGCTAGCTAGACCGAATGCTCCCTGTATGTACCTGATATCGAATCTTCCGTGGTCTCAGTTCCGGAACCCTCCTCAAAATGGTGGTGTTCCTTCCTTACATTGGAAAGTTGTGAGCTACTGTGTTTGCCTCTTTTAAAAGGACTCTCGGGACACAGTCCACGCGGGAAGTTAGCACATTATTTTGTCTCGACAGTACTCTACTAGGCAGTTTCTTTGCCGGGGTTTGAGTCCTCGCCGAATGTGCCGTTCAAAGCTAATCATGTTTGGTGAGACGCGGAACGGCACGGGTGGCAGGGCCAGGCAGGGCCTATGCGAGGAGGAAGTTGTTTCGGCTCGGCTGCTCGGCGGTCCGCGGCAGGCGCGGCTCTTCGGCCTGTTTGTCTCCCTGTCGTTTAGATTATTCGCCTCTTAGCCTGCTCCTTGCTCGCCACTTGTCTCTTCGTTCCATGTTGTACGTCGCGTACCGCTCTGCGTTCGGAGGGTCGGCCTTAGCAATCTGGTGAAAATCGGCCGAAGATTGCTATGTACTTTGCATTTTACTTTGGAACAGGTACCTAATTCTTCTTTCGTTGTTTTTTTTTCTTTTCTACAGACTTTTTGCTGTCCTGCACCGTGCGCCTTCATTGGATACGACGGTGCCTTTTGCTTAGTTTGCCAGTTAATGCACTTTTTACTGTCCATAGTAAGTATTTTGTTTATGCCTATATTTCCATTTCTTTCGTATTTTTTAAGATTAAAAGGCCTTGATGTCATTTGCTAGAAAACCTAAGTACACTCTCATATTGCTCTCTGTCCCTGCACTAATTGTCAGAGGTCTAAGTTCTTTATTATAAATTTCATATCGTTACTGACTGTGGTCATTTGATCACTCATTATCATAATCCGTTCTCTTATTTCTTTCTTTGGCAAGGGTCATTTTTCATGTTTGAACTTTCCGCTAGTTTTTTGTCTTGACTACATCTCTAACCTTTGATCAATGTGTTTATTTGGAATTCTAGTTCATAACCTCACTTATATATCAGTTCTGATTCTAATATATATGGAACAATTCTTAACACTGCTGTCTTATTTTTGCTGTATGTTATCTTCATCTTTATGAGGATTAGATTTCGTTTTGTTCCTGTGCCCTTGACAGACAAAAGACATCCGTAACACTATCCTACTTAAAGTATCGTGTGTCTTTCCTTCTAGTTGTGCAGCCTTAAAGACTTTCCAAGGCATGTTACATGTGCAATAGGGCTCCAGAGCGCTGGCAGACTTGGCTGCCTCTTGGAATTGAAGGCTTTGCGTAGGCACTTCTATTTGTTTCCCGTGAGTTTTTTGATTTTAGCCTCAAGGTTGCTTGAATTTGTTGTTTCAGTGAGTAAGGAAAATGCCTAGAAAAGGTGGATCATCTGCCTTGGCAAGTCCACCACCTGAACCACGCTTTGCTCCTAATGGATATCGTTTGCCTGACCCCATCCGTGAGGGTGAGATCCTCACAGATGTCACTAAGAAGCAGTGGAGGTTGGGACGATCTATTGGTCTTGGTGGCTTTGGTGAAATATATCTAGGTAGGTTGTTAAACTAAAGATCTGTACTGTGATCGAAAGGATTGTCATCTCATGTTACTGTCATGCCTCTTTCAGCTTCAGATGACTTAAAAAAAGCTGTTGGTCAAGACTCACAATATGTTATTAAAGTGGTGAGTAACAAAATTCTTGGTTTGTAGATTATATTACATTCAGAGTCAAGCCCTCATATCTTGCATTTTTTTTTGTTTCTAGGAACCCCACAAAAATGGACCATTGTTTGTTGAGATGAACTTCTACCTTAGAGTTGCCAAATCAGATATGAGTAAGTTTCCCTGATAACTATAAATCCTAAATTATTTTGTAAATGAGAGGTTTACTGATATTTGAAAATTCTTCCAGTTGAATCTTGGATGAAAGAACATCGAATGAAGCAGCTTGGTATGCCATGTTACTGTGGTTCTGGTTCTCATGTTTTCAAAGGTGAACGATATAGGTTTCTTGTACTCCCCCGTTTTGGGAGCGACCTTCACAAACTCTTTGAAAAACACGGTCGCCGTTTCCACTTGCGTACTGCCTTGTCTATTGGAATCCAGATAGTGAGTTTTTCTTTCTTTAATCATACTTGACTAGTTCTTCTGTCTTTCTTCTTTTTCTTCTAATTTATTAATTTTGGGTTCACTCTTAATTTCTCATGGCAACAAGATAATGATCATTCCTAAGGTTTTTCTGTAAAATAAGGTTTTTAATCAAGGGCTTGTAGCCCTATGTCTCTTTATGGAAGTATGCAGGTCAACCTAACATAACATGTTAATAAGAAAAATGCATGCGGTTATACAGGCAATGTATTTCCTTTTTGCAGAGCAACTTTATATATGCTCCTATTGCTTTAATACTAGTCGCGCGTTGCGCTTCTCCCGTTTTTCGCGAATTTATCCTTCATTGCCATCTTTTGGATCTTCTGATGTGGCCTTTCATAATGCTAGAGCCTCTCTTTAAGAAATCTGCTGCAAAAGTAGCCTACGGTTAATGCTACTGTGAGACAAAAAACCTTATTTTATGGAAAATCATCATGTCATTACTACCTAAAAATAAGGGTAAACCTGGCATAAATTGTTGCTCTACACTGGTATTTCTTATTACAGCTTGACATTTTGGAATATATACACTCTCATGGGTACAGCCATTCAGATATCAAAGATTCTAATCTTCTTCTTGGCTTTGGAGCAAACCAGAGCGGACAAGTCTACTTGTTAGACTACGGTCTTGCTTCTAAGTATGTGGACAGATTAGGGCAACACAAAGAGTACCGTCAAGATCTCCGTAAAGCTCACGATGGCACTATTGAGTACACATCTAGAGATGCTCATATTGGAGGTAATTTGTGGTATCTAGATCAAGTTTTTATTTCTATTGTTTGTTGCTCATTCAACTGGCTTTTTTTTTTTTTTTTTTAGCCCATTCTCGCCGTGGAGATATGGAAATCCTGGGTTACAACATGTTGCAATGGGTTTGCAGTAAGTTACCTTGGGAAGAGGATCTCAGTGATCCAGAGAAGGTAGCTGAACAGAAACGAGAGTGCATGAGCAATATTCCTCACTTTCTACGACTTTGCTTTCCAAATGATGAACCACCCTGTGAGTGCATTTGATGCTGTCTTACTTATGGCTGAGCTGTTGTATCCAGACTAAATATTTTCATGGTATCCCGTTTGTTTTGCTTTTTTAATTTTCAGCTGTTCTTGTTTGGTATCTTAAATATGTTGCTGGGTTGGGCTTCGACTCCAAGCCTGATTATGGACTGTGTAAGCAAATGTTAAGAAAGGAAATACGCAAGTTAGGTCTTACCTACAATGGAGTCATTAAGTTCGACTCTGCACCAAGGCCTCTAACTGCCAAATCAAAAGCAAAGAAGGTGAAAGTTTTACCTTTTTAGAAATATACAATTGATAATTATTTTATGCTTTTTGTCATTGAAGTTTTTAAATGCTTACAAACCTTGTTAATTTTCAATTCTTATAGCGCAAGGCAAGTGAAGAGCCAGAAAATGCAGGGAAGGCTCCTCCTAAAAGACCTCTTCGCAGCAGTACTAGGCAGCCTTGTGCTCAGCAGAATTGCAATCGCTTGACTAGAGGCTCTCAACCTACTCAACCAGTTCTACGTTCACAGCAGCAATTCAGTTGGGAGAAAGTCCTTTTAAGTGATCCTGAAAAACAGTTCAGAGTTCAAGCTGAAAGACTTAAACAGTAAGTTTATTAGTTTTTTATCTTATTAAACAACCTTCTCTTTGTATTTAATAATCACCAATTATTACTTCTTTCCTCTTTAGGACTAAAATGAAAAGGACTAGGCTCCTTAGTTTGACCACTGTATTAGAGAGGTCGGGCAGCATAGATCCTGTTAGCAATCTTGTCAAGGACCCTCTTTTGTCTCCTGCTAGTGCTCTTCAGCTTGCAACTGATGCAGAAAGTCTGAAGAACCCAACACCTGCGATGCTAGAACAAATAGAAAGGATGCGCATGAAAAGAGGAAATGTTAGTCCAACCAATGGCTCTCGCAGCAAGACCAAGAGTGACAGGTTTGTTTTAGTTGTACATAATATCGAACAGGTCTTACTTGTTTAGGTGTTCTATTCGTTCTTTTGTTTTGTTTAATAGCCGCTGCAGTAGTCCCATTGACAACCCGAGTATGCTTACTCCAGCTATGGAGAAAGTTATCAAGCAACGGGAGGCACATTGCCTGAACTTTCACTATGGAGATAGTGATAGTGATGAGTGTAGTTCAGAATCCTCTAGTTCAGAGCATATGCCAGTTTATCGTATCAAGGTACCTAGTGGACGTCCAGGAACTAGAATAGGACTCCGGAACAAAGCTGGGGTAAGAAGACAGTCCTGTGATACCTTCAGTAGTCACAGTGATAGTATTGAATTTGTTAATGCCCAACTTATCTCCTCCAACAAGAAGCGGCAAACACCGAACCGCGCCCCAACCCGCAAAAACAAGCTGTCCTCAAGACAGCTTTCAAATGGTACTTTTTAACTTAATGTATTTGCAATTGTATTGAAATGGTGTGTGCAGGTGTTAATTTTCGTTTTCATCTTCTCAGGTGCTATTGCTGCAAGGAAGAAAAGTCACGCCATAACCAAGAAATATCTCAGAAGTTGCCCAAGTCTAAGGAATACCACACTACAAGGCTGAGTTTCTTGTTAAGCTGTATTTCTCACTGCCTCCTATTTAGAGACTAGTTTAATGATAGACAGTATTTGTTGCTTAACTTTAAATAAATGTGTTTATACATGGGTTTTGGCCATTCTCTGCTGTATTCCTTCGAGTTTCCCCTTAGTTTTCTAAATAATATGTGCATACTTCTATTTTGGCCAATCTCATAGCTTTAATTCTGGACCTGGCAATACTAGTTCAAGTATCCTATTGGTCAGCTAAGTTCAGTATTGTTTTGTTTTGTTACTGACCCCCGGCCTTCTTTTGTAATGTAATTTAATCATTGGTTGAAATAGTCTGCTTGTCTAGCAAGCGTAGGCTTAGATACACTTTATTTTTCTGCCTTTTGAACAGATAGTTTATTAAATCATTTCTGCAAATTTGTGTTGTCTGCTAGATCTTGCAGATTGTAAAAAAATTAGACTAAAAAAAATTTTTAAGTTATTTTTTTTAAAACTTTTTGTTTTGTGTACATTTTTTTTTGTTCTGAATTGATTTGTTATTCCAGATTTCAGTGTGTATAAGGGAACCCAAGTTGTCTTGAACTTCAAGTGTTACAATATGTCATACTTACCCAAGAAAATCTTGCTGTCTAAACTGACTGATTTTAAGTTTAAACTTCTGCATCTGTAGGGAAAATTGGAAGATATCACAGTTTGTGGACTGATAAGACTTTCTAACTATGTAAATGTTAAGTGCAATTTACCATATTCATTTAACTATGTTGTGTGTTTATTGTTAAACAACGGCATTGTTAAAAGTTTTGCCCATCCTATTGGGAGTAAATTTATTGATATATGTAGGTTTTTTATGTGATTATATAGAGCAAGGAAGTTAAAATGACAATCACTTCCTTCATGGCTTAGACTATGCAAGTTTTGTTGTCATTTTTACTACCTTACTCTGAAATTCGGTTTGTGTAACTTTGTCAGGCCATTTCCTTGTGTTGAAATGACTGAGGATCAACTCCAGAGCTCATTTGTCTTTGACTTTCACATCACCTTTCCTGTTTTATCTCCAACAGGATAGCTGGTCAACCATTCCTGAGACTGAGTTTGGTAGCTGAGTATCAGCTGAACTTAAGGGTTCTATTACTTGTGAGACTGAAGGTGATGAAAGGCTATTAATGTACTTTCCAGCCATATGGGGGTACTGAAATGAGCAGCTCTAGTTTTATGTCTCTTTGACAGTTAGGCCATGAGAACAGGGCAGCCCCTCTCATGGTTTCACCTCTCACAACTGTAAGGAGAGTGGAGTGAAGTGCCTGTGGTTCTCTGGCTCCCAATTTGATCTTAAGGCATCAGTTTTTTGCTTAATATACCAAGTAACACACTCCTGTGTCATCAATTCAACCATGTCAGATCTTCAGGATCACCAATTCTTTACTTTGAATATACTTGTTTCAAATTTATGGCAGTATGCAAAGCTAAAGTAAAGTTGTTGGCAGAAGGCAACAGTCCATTGTCTGATGTGACCACTTAATGCCTTCTATTCTTTCTGTTTACTTGCTCAGCTACCCTTTGCTGCATTTTGGACAATAGTTTTCATATGCCTTACCTAACACATTGTTTTTTTAACAATTAAAGACTGACCACAGTAATGCTCTGAAAATTGCTACTTGTGACCATCTTCATATCTGTGTCTTACTTATTGTAGCCTTTGGCTAGTAAATGTTTATTGTTAAAATCATGTGCAATGCTGCTTTATGTGAATCAGATTATATTACTAACCTAAAAGTCATCTAACGTCTGTATTAAAGTGGTGTTTGTAGTTTTACTCATTATTGGTAGGTGAACTATAACAAAAGTCACTTGGTCAAAACAAAAGCCACGTAGTCAAATCTTGTTTTACATATTTATTTGTTGAAAATTATTGAGATGTTTATTTCTTTTTAATTGATTTATGATTTATTTTTCTTTGTTTCAATGTTCTGGCGGGAGATTAAAGTGCTTTTCTCTTGTTCACCTATGAAGCAAGTTCTTTTTGCCTCTTGAAAAGTAAGCGACAAGCTATTGTGCTCCTCCAGAATTCACTGTGGGCTGAAGAGAGTTATTAGCAGCTGCATCCTGCCAGTGCATCCTGCTAACAACTCTCTTGTGGGCTGCAATACATAATTGGCTTGACCTCAAATTACCCTGTAAGTTAATATTTTTATGTACTGGGTTTATGCTTCCAAAACCTTAAATTAGTCAGAAGTTTTCAAAATTATCTATTCTGTTTGTTGGCATTGTGTCCATCTTCCGTAAGTGAAATGCTTATAATGAATCTAAGCTAGTCATGGGTAACACCCATCACTCAAATCTGCTTAATTTTCTACATCACAACAAAATTTTCCATAATTTGATTCAAATGCTCTCCACAATTAAAGTCCTCTGCCTTGGTTGTGTATTTCTTGTACTTAGCTAATGGTAGATTTCATGGTGTTTGAATTCTAATAATGCTATGCTCTTTTTTTTTATGGTAGTGCTGGACATGGTAGTGCGTGCATTCATTAAAACTACATTATCTTGTTTCAATTTGTTTTAATTTCTTGACTTTCATTAGAACCTTTCAGTACCTTAAGTACGTACAGTGACTCAGTTCGTTATTTATGATACCCTGTTGTGCAGGTTCTGGGATGTTATTGTATTGCAGCGTGCAGTGGTACTAATACAGTTTTATTACACTCTCTTTATATGCATAACAATATGTGCTTGCAGATATCATAGGTCTAATCATACCTAAAACTTCTATATTATTTGACTGGTTTATTGAGTTACTGTTGACATTGGCCTGTCCTTCATTTTGATTTGGCATTTTGCTCTTCTGGGCGCTTCTCTTAAATGAAGACCAAGACCTCTATTCATTTTATTTTTTTAAGTGAATTCTCTATGTAAATACGTGTTGAACTGAAAAGCGTTTATTTGCATTTTTCAAAGGAATCTTATCACCGAAATGTAAATTTTCTCTAATCTTCCTGTTTTCTTCCCTCACTTCATGTGAAAGCAGTGTGGCTGTGAGAATTCAAAAAGAAATTGATTTCACATTGAAAGTGCCAACATTGGTGAGGCGCTTAAATTTCTTCATTTGGTATTGATGTTAAGAAAAAAGGAATTAATAGAGGGATTTAAAAATAAATAAATAGTTAAATACTAATTCAGAGCAGGATATTGCCATTCCTTCCTATTGTTTGCAAAATAATATTGTGATTGAATTTTCTGAGATGAACAGTGAGGCAAGAGTAACTCCCCCTCCTTTGTCATGTGCTATTTCTTTTTCATCTCTTATGGAAGGGGAGGTAATGTGATATGTATGATGCATAAGAGTTTTATGCGTCACAGACAGATCTAATCTTATGTTTTGTTTACATTCTAGCAAAGAACTTCTTGTTCTTAACTATTGAGTGTTTGAAGAAAGAAAAAAACAACTCATATGTCTCAAGAGACCATGTTTTTAATCTTGTCGTTATGGTTTGAGGTTCCTGATGCCCTCATCTCATGTATTTCCAGACTTGCTCCAAAGCTCCCATTGGCCTAGAAGTCTGGGTGGTTTAGAAAGTTATTATTACTATATTAAATCATAATAAAGTGTTCTCTAGAAATTTCTATTTGATTCATGATGTGTCACCCATTTGATTATTGCACATGAAGCACAAATCATGGTTTTGTCCTGTTATGGAAAACTGTCCTCCATTGACATACAAATGATGGAGTCACATCCCTTTATTAGCCACATGCAGTGGTAAAGACTACAATATTTTACATCATCACAGTCATACAAAATGTCATTGATTGGATTTCCCCAATATCAACAGATCTGTCAAAACATGCTACATGGACTGTACTGTGAGCAGCCATCTACACAGTTAAAATTAGAAGCCAAAAAAGACCTCCCAATAGACATTTAAAAAAAAAGAAATTAACAGCCAGACTGCAGAATGAGCACAGGCATGAAATTGATGAATCGCAAGTGAATGTGATAGTATCCTGAATATGTACTGATCAAACAATTCACGTTGGCTAAAATTTTATAAAACCATTAGACAAGACAACAAATGGCCCCATACACAAACACATCATCATACAATGACATTGCCACGTCAAGAAACATAAGATCATACCCAGTAAATATACATTTCTAAAATGGTTCACACCTATTACTTCCCACAAAACAGAGAGATCAGTCGTGTGTTAGCTGTTCTGATCACTAGATCTTAAAGGTAGTGATACAGGAACATCAGTGACAACTGATGCTGACATAAGAACATTATTTTGGACCTTTGGTGCTAATGACGGAGGGGGACTGGGTCCTGCTGATGACAGTGAAATTGATTTGGTGCCGGTGAATAAACCAATCACATACAGGACCAAGTTGTTCAAGAATCCTGCAAATAAAACATTATTGTTATGTTTTTAAAATGAAATTTTTTTAAATATTAGATTTGAGATTAGCAAAATCTATACCTGAACAGACATAAAGACCACAGATCATGGAAGACAGACGAGTCAGAAACTGACCAATAGAATCTCTTTCTTGTATGACATGGACCTTTAATGCACTCATGTCATACTTAAAGAATAAGCCAGCAACTCCATGAGATCCTACAGGTCAAAATTAAAAACAAGAGAATTAATCTTTAGGATGCCGCATCAGTCAAAATCTTTGGTTCGGTGCTGATTCTACCAACCATTTCGGTGATCAATAGGTCTGTCATGGTCCTTGACCGAATACTGGTAAGTCTGCATTTTGCTGAAGAATGTATCAACATCTGTAGGAACTACTTGAATAAAATACTGATATAACATGGAGGCTGAAAAGTGATGCACAAATTAATGGCCAGGTGAAAAGAATAAAACCGAAGAAAGATAGAATCAACTAAGAAATATACTCACATTTATCTGTGATTTTTTCATCACCCTCCATTGGATGAATTATCCCAGGAGATGGATCACCAAATGAGAACTTGTGAATTCTATGAGAAAAGTTCATAGCTCTTTCTGCTACAAATGGTGTCAAGTGTACATGACCAACGGGTAAAGCCAAAGGTTTGCCTGCACTTACATGGAAGTTCCCAGAGACTTTATTTAAAGTTAGACTTCCATAAATGCGACAGGCATCTGTTGGCCATTTAGGCTTGTCCTTTCTGCTATGCAAATTAAATACATGACGGGGTTACAAACAGATCAAATTAAATTTTTCAGCACATTAAAGGAATTAGAATGATTACCGAGCTGGCAATGTTCCAAACATTGCAGCCTGCCCAGACTTCCACAACAGAATCTGAAGAGCATGGAATTCTTCCCTAAGGTAAGAATTTAGGGAGCGCATGGTATCAAAATGTGTGCGCTGTTCCCTGTTGAGCTCCCACCATGTGTCCTCTTGTTCCAAATTCCCAAATTTGAAAATGTTCTGATTGGTAGAGTCTACTATATCAGCACCAATATCTAGAAAAATTAAGGTCGTCATTTTAATGTTTGTTACATACTCTAAGCAGACAATCTAAAGCTTCAGAAAACCTACAATTGCATGGTGTTGCTACGGTCAAATCAATATTTATTTTCAGTTTTGCATCAAAGTCAGTGTCAGGTGTAAATTTGAAGAGAAACTTCGTATCCAACCAATATTTGGTTTCTGAATACACCAACCAAATGATGGCAAGCCAACAGAAAACCGATACTGCAAAATAAAATTAAGAAAATACTTAACTTTCAAGGTAAACAAACAAGCAAAAAATTTGAATAATTTTCAGAAAAATTAAGAAAAGGAAATAATAAGACAGGAAAAATGATAAATAAAACAAGTACCGGTTCCTCCAATAGGACTAGCTTCCACGTAAGACTCTGGGACTTTTGGAAATGCATCCAGTTCCCGGACTGTCTTTAAAGAAACAACTTTTCTGATCCGCTGTCGTAACATTTTCAAATTTATTTGTATTCACGATAACCCCGGCTTTAGACACTTCCGATGCAGACGACTACCATCTTTCTATCACAGACTTAACGCTTGCTCAATGTTTTAACATGTTTGATACTAGAAATTCTTGTCCTTATCACAATGTCTATTACATTCTAATAGCAAGTACCACGAAGAACGAAAGAATATCACAAGATTTACACGTCAACATGACAGAGAGTCCTAACCTGTACTTCACAAACACACAACTGTCACCGCCACCGCCCTCCTTATCCCTTCATGCACGGTGTCATTTGGCAGATGCTTGTTGTCAAATCAAAGCAGAAAGCCGAGTTAAATGTCGTAATTTGTAGATTACTGATGTTTTGATCAGTAGTTTCAAATACCCAACGAGTACTTGAGTAAGTTACCCCAATTTTTATCACCTGGAACGCCACTGTTGTCGATAATTGGACGAGCATATGTCCCATATACTGTGAATCCTAACCTTCAACGATGAAAATATATCACGATTTAACAGTTCCCGAGCAAGTCATTTCATGCTTTTTCTAAACCTGAAAAATTTGAAATATTTATTTTGACACTGCCACTGTGCATGATTTGTTAGTATGATAATATCTTCAAAAATGAATAACAAATCGTTCTCAACTACCGATGAGCGATTTTTCTCGCCAATTATCTTTTGAATTAAATGGTTTCAGTGGTAAAACTCAGCTTTACCTGCTTCTTCTCCTCTTAAATTAATTGCACTGTAATAAAGTTTTGTTTCAGCTGACTATGGATATTGTAAATAAGTTTCGCTCGACAGTGAGTAGTACAGTCTCTACTCTGTCTGGAGTCCTTCCTGGGAACCCAGTAACACGAGAATATGAAGTTACAAACCACATTGCCAGCGCAGGACCAGGTAACGGAGAACCACATATTAATAATTTACTGGTATCTTGCATGTTATATGTTTTCAGCGATTCATCAATTACTCTCTCTACTCAGGTTTGCTATGGAAAATATACCAAGGCTACAAAAAGTCAACCAAACAAGAAGCTGCAATATTTGTGTTTGAGAAGAGGCATCTAGAAAAATTTCCAAGAGCTGAAAGAGATATTATTTTAGAAACTCTTAAGAGGGGTGTTGCCCAACTCACAAGATTAAGACATCCCCAAATTCTTACTGTTCAGCATTCAATGGAGGAATCGAGGTAAAGCACTAATGAAACTTATATAGTGTGAGAAGTAGATGTTTCAAAAGCCTAGTGTATTGATTGTGTTCTAGGTTTATGAAAAGCAATGAAATTTTTAATTCAATTGTTTGATTTCAGGGAGAGTCTTGCTTTTGCCACTGAACCAGTATTTGCTAGCTTGGCAAATCTTATGGGAAGGACAGAAAATATGCCTTCTCCTCCTCCTAAATACCTCAACAACTTCAAGCTGTTTGATCTGGAAATCAAATATGGCCTTCTACAGGTTGACCTTGAATCTCATTTTGTTTTGATGTCAAAATTTTATCAATTTACCGCTGTTCCGATTTCTGAAATATTATTTTCCAGGTTGGAGAGGGGATGGCTTTTCTTCATAATGATGTAAAGCTACTTCACCGTAATTTGTGCTTGGAGTCCATTGTTGTAAACCATCAAGGAGCATGGAAAATTTTTGGTTTTGATTTTTGTGTTCTTAATCAGGAACAGTCTGATGGACGGGTAAGTTCATACTTTAATTTGTACTGTTAACTACCCTTGAGTTCAGCTGTAATGGTTCTTGTCCATCCACCTCTGAATACTTCTACGCCTAGTTATGGTTTCTTCAGATTCTTCTTTGCCTGTAGTTTCATCGTTTTCTTCTTCATTTTTCTGTACCGATTCATCCTTAAAGTCCCTCTCCTTTCCATGCTTTGTCTGGATTTTGCTACCCTCTTCCTTCAAATCTGATTCATTGCTCTCCTTCTTTTTCTTTTTGCCACCTAAGTAATAAAGTTACTTGATATGCGTTAAATGTCCAACATTCTCATCAACTCCGATACAAAAAGAAAAAGTGTACTTACTTACTTTCCTTTCTGAGATGGATTTAGATTGCTTTCTCTGTTGATGATTTTGTTTTGATTTTCGGACAACTTTGTTTTTGAAGTTACCCTGGACACTTTGAAACTTGGGCCTCACAATGTATAAAGGGATTTTTCCTTTAGGGAAACCATTTCTATCCATAAAGCGGCTCTTTTCTTGAGGTGTCATTTTGCGCCAAGTTATTCCAGCTCTCTTTGCAATGATTGTCACTGGGGCTTGTCCTCGATGTTCATTATAGTACCACATGTAAAAGTTTATGTAAGCATTTCTGCCCATGATTGTTTAGCTAAAATGGGGTTAATTTGTTAGATTATTATTATATTTTGTATTAGTCTTTTGACTTTTTCTCTTTCATTGTTGCTTAGTAGGCCAGCCTGCCTGAGCCAGCCATTGTGACCATTGTTCAGATGTGTGATTTTCATTGTTGTCTTCTCAACTTCTTGCAGCCTCATTGGCCTTTTGTGGAATATGAGCAGTGTGCTCATCCTATATCACAACCTGATTTGGATTATCTGGCCCCAGAGTGTGGACTCACTCTTACTCACTCTCCTGCAAGTGATATGTACTCATTGGGTATGACGATTTATGCAATACACAATGAAGGGCAATCATTGTACACATGTAATGGTGACTACAAAACTTTTAAAAGAAATGTTCAAAATGTAAGTGCGCAAATGGATTTACTTTTTAAAATTAATTATTGAATTTTGTTTCTAAATTCACCTTGCTGTGACTTGTTTTCTTTGTAGATGAAGCAGTTGCCTGCATCTAAGCTCTTGTGTGTAGCTGAGGGTCTAAGGGACATAATCAAATTAATGTTGAATAGTACCCCTGAAGTCAGGGCAGATGCCCACCAGTTTGTCAAGGTGTGGAAACTCATTTCACTGGATCCTCATTACTGTTTTCAGGCTCTTGACATTATAAATTTTGTTTGCAGATCAATTATTTTGAAGATGTTGGTGTCAAGACCCTCAACTACCTTGACTCATTATTTCAATGGGACAACTTACAAAAGTCTCAATTCTACAAGGGGCTGCCTGATGTGATAAATAAGCTGCCTCATCGGGTGTGTCTCAACAGGTTAGACAAATCATTGGAATGGAAGCATTGTTAATTTAAGTCCAAGTTTGAACTAATAACCGCCTCTTTCAATTTTCAGAATATTGCCATGCCTTAGTAAAGAGTTTGTAAACCCCACAATGGTGCCATTCGTTCTACCTAATGTATTACTTTTGGCAGAGAAATGCACTAAAGAGGAATATTGTCAAAAAATACTTCCTGGCCTGAAACCTGTAATGAAAATTCAAGAGCCTATTCAGGTGAATTATTGTTTTATTGCCCATAAACTACCTGACATTTTTCTATAATATGTTTGCCTTTTTTCACTCAGTCTGTCAATTCTCTGCCGCAGGTTCTCCTCATATTCATGCAGAAGATGGAACTACTCCTTCAACTCACTCCTGCAGATGAGGTGAAATCAGATGTCCTTCCAATGTTATATCGTGCTTTAGAATCTGATGCCCAGCAGATCCAAGAGCTTTGCCTCAGCGTTTTGCCAACATTTGCAAGTTTACTTGATTATCCTGCAATGAAAAACGCTCTATTACCCAGAATCAAGCGACTCTGTATCAACACGTCCTACTTATCCGTATGTATTCCTGTATCTTGTAATTCGATTGTACAAAATTTTCACTGTTTAATTTTGGAATTGTATTATTTATCAGGTGCGTGTCAATTGCCTTGTGTGCCTGGGTAAATTGTTAGAGCATTTGGACAAGTGGCTAGTTCTTGATGAAGTACTTCCATTCTTACCTCAGATACCCTCTAGAGAACCTGCTGTTTTAATGGGAATCCTTGGTAATTGCACAAAGTCACTTTTTGTTAGAGAAATAATAAATGTTTCCTTCTGTTTGAGAGATTGTCTGATTTTACATATTGCAGGAATTTATAAGTTGGCTTTGACACATAAAAAACTTGGCATCACAAAGGAGGTCATGGCAACAAAAATCATTCCATTCCTCATGCCACTTTGCATAGAAAATGGTCTCTCTCTGGCTCAATTCAATGCCCTTGTAACCCTTCTCAAAGAAATGGTTGCAAGAGTAGAGTCTGAACACCGAACTAAGCTTGAACAACTTAATTCTATTCAACAACAAACAAGGTATTCTAAACATCAATTGTGTTTTGTAGACAATTACATTGCTTAACCATTTTTAGGGCTGATTTCTGTTTATCCATCTTATATTTCTTACTATTCTTTTTGTTTTCATTGCAGCAATGTCCAACAAAACATTTCTCCTCTATCTGGCACACAACTTACAGCAGCACCTCAGCCAGAAAACGAATTGGACCAAATGTTTTCTAGTCTAGGTCTAGATGACTTTACATCTGGGAAAAGTTCTAAGACTCAACAAATCCCAAAGTCCAACACAACAGGTTCTATATCCGGCCTCAACAGTAGTGGATCCATAGGTTCATTGAGTATTCAAGATAAACAAAGGTGCGCCAGATTTACGGATCTGCCTTTAATATTACTCTACCCTTTGTCATAATCGTAAAATTTTCTTAATCAAATCTAAAAAAATATCTATCTATCTATCTATACTTTTCAGACTGGCGAGTCAACAAGAGGCACAGATGCGACTTCAATCGCAGAATCCCATTTTACCTTCGTCTGTTACCCCTGTTGCCAAGCCACCGGTGAAAGATCTGACATCAACTTTAATGGAAAATCAACTGAAGCAAATAAGCTCGCCCGCTCCCGCGTGGACTGGCACAGTCAAACAAGTAGGATCGCCGACAAGCCCCGGCAGCGCTTTCAGTGCTTTCCAGAGCTCCCCAGCCTTGACGTGGGCTGCGCCAAGCTCAATAGCGGGTAGCAACAACCAATGGTCTGGCTTGTCAAGCACTATTCAGAGTAGCACTAGTCCTGGCTTCTCTGCACCTGCTGCAAGTGTAAACAACGGGTGGTCTCTAGCTGCCTCCAGTCCCCGGCCAGCCGCTCCCATGGGCGGTGGGATGGTCATGAACAACATGATGTCACCCCAGCAAATGCCATTCTCCAATTCTTTTACCCAGTCCAGTTCACAAACCAAGCCATTGTCTGCTTCAGAAATAAATGACTTACTTAGCTAATAATTATGTTTGCGCCAGCTTAACATATAATTTATTTGTTTTTTATTCATCGATCTGGTCCTGGTCACCTTGAAGACCCAGTTTCATTCCTCCTTGTCTATTTATTGAATGTTTTCTTTGCATTCCAATTGCCAATACTTCAACAGTCATTAGCTGCATCTAAGTGCTGGAAGTTTAGTATTGATGGAAAGACTGTGTGGGTTTTGCTAGCTTTTGACAGTTGTGTTGAAACATCATACTCTTGCATTTATGACATACTTGTACAACTCCAGACTTGATAGTGTGTGCGTGTGTGTGATATAAATGTAGATGGAGGGGTAATGTGGAGAAGCTGGTGTGTAATGTAGCTCCCTAGAAATGAGCTTCCACTTGTTATCTGTCAAGCACTTTGCATTGTGTTAATCATTCCCTTGCTTGAGTTGAATCTCTTGCTATTCTGCTAGTTTTTATTGTTAATTGGCATCATGTTGGCATGTACATTTGTTTGTAAAATGTTGCCAGAGTCATTTTATTTCTGTTCTTGTTTTGAAATTTTGATTTTATAAGATACTTTACAAGGTTATTAAAGAATATATCAGCCCTCTGTGAGCCTTAATGATTTTCTGAAATGAATTATTTTGTACTATAGATATTGATAATTTAGGTTCAAGTAACTTATTATGTTTGTGATTATGTATCTAAGTCATTATGAGCTTATCAATGAAGTAAAATCACAATTGTAAAATTTAGACTAGTGAGCCAAAGCTAGAGTGAGGAACCTAAAAGAAACAAAATAACATATGGATGTAATAAGTTAATTGCCATCACTTTTCTTTCCGTCCATGTTACTTCTTTGCCACACCGTTTGAATGATGGTAGGCTATTGACTATTGTATCATCAAGAAACTAAAAGTATTTTACACCATGTCACATAGATTTGATTACACACTACGTAGTAACTGTGTATGAATCTTATATCTAGTTGACTAAAGAAGTATCTAAAGTGTAAATGTTATTTAATAAAATATTTTTTATTGAGAAATCGTATTTTTATTTACAATTGAGATACCTTTCAGTGTTGCCAGCACTGGAGTTCAACAGAAACGAGCCACAAAGGGCTGTAGGAGCCACGCTGCTGACAGTGCCGTGTACATTCCCGCCAGAATCGCCATGCAACTCCTGATGTCCACATCTGAAAAAATGCGAGCCGCTCGTTATAGTGTGCCGCAGTGGCGCCTGGCGCCCCCGAGCCGAGTGCCGAGTGCTCGCTGGAGCGACTGTACTACTCACTGACGAGCGCGGGGGCGATGGCGGTCACGAGCCCGGCCAGCACGCAGAGCAGGGGCTGCGCGCGGTAGCAGGTGGCGCCCCCCATTGCGGCCCTCGTAGCGTAGCGCTGTGCCCACGTCGCACCCGCGGACCCGTAGCCCGCGGCCAGGCACCCCAGCATGAGCCACCACTGCGACCTACCCCAACTCAGCACTGGCAACGAAAACAAACACAACTCAGATTGCGCACGTTCTTCCTCACAGTGTAGGGAAGGCCACCTGCTAGCCACCTGAAACTTTCGGTCGTTGGGCACTACACACTGCTAGTGTCACCAGGGGTTCTCATCTGATCGTGGGCTAGGAGACTTTCGCGAAAGGAGCAATACGCTCTTGCCCATCGTGCTTACACCATAAGATGCATAAGGCTCGGAAAAGAGGGGGGGGGGCAGTCTGCATAAATTACGAGCTCCGAAGTACTTACGCATGAAGCCAGCTGCAGCCACCGCGGACACGACGCCAAGCAGCCTCCTTCGGGACGGTCCGTCGGCGCTCGCTGCAGCGCCAGAGTCCCACTGCCACTCCCATAGCACCGCCAGGCCGAACAGCATGTGGCCCACGCCGGCGACGGCGGGGAGCGCCGCGACCTGGAAGATGGGGACGGGAACGAGGCTTAGTTGGTGGGGCACAAAGACCTTCTCCAGACCACGCTCACGATAGGCTTACCACGTGCGTCTTGGCCCTGGCGCCGAGCTGGGCGATGGCGAGGGAGGGCAGCAGGACGGGCAGGGCGATGCCGGCCAACCTGCAGCACGCCAGCGTCACCAGCGACAGGTGGAACGAGGGCTTGAGCACGGGCCGCAGGTCGGCGCGGCAGCCCCGCGAGTGTGGGCGCAGCATGGAGCAGAGGCGCGCCACGGACCCTGCGACAAAATGGAGGAATGAAAGCGATTTTATTCTATTTTATAATTATTTTTATTTGAGGGGGGCGGGGGTTTATGATGGCGCGCCGCACGTAAGTACCTTTGCGGGGCGACTGCCGTCTGACGAACAGCTCGATGTCGTCGTCGCCATCGCAGTCGAACGAGTACGCGATGTTCCACGCCTGGCCGTCTTCCCCGTAGATGGGGCGCGGGACGCTGCCCGCTCTGGCCGCGTCGGAGGCCGTGCCGTTGGAGGCCGTGCCGTTGGAAGTCGTGCCGTTGGTGGCCTTGCCGAGCCGCGCCGTGGCCTCCGACTTTAGGGCGAGGCCGTTGGGGACGCCGTTGGGGCCTCGGTCCGGATGCTGCCTCTCGCCGGCTCCGTCGCAATGGACCTCCGCCACCACAGTGGTGGTACCTGGCGGTACCTCCGCCACGGCGTGTGGCCCCGGGTTGGAGGGCGGTGCGCTGCGCGGCGCGCCGTCGGCCTCGGCGTGCTCGCTGCCGCCGTCGTCCGACATTTCGGTGCGCGCGTCCCCGTCCCCTTCAGAGTCCTGGCGCGCGGGGGCCAACCGCCACTCCTGCCGGGCATGACGTGACGATGTACGACGTGCGTTCCGACGTGAGCATCGCGATTACGTCACCTTTGAAAGCCACCGGAGCAGCAGACTGACTCAGAGAGTCGTTTCAATCGCTCTGTCTCTCTCGGACCCATACGGGGTGGCGCCCCATGAGTGCAAGAGAGGCAGAGCGACGAGAACGACTCTCGGAATCAGTCTACAGGGCGGTTGCCACAGAACGTCTCCGCAACGGCAGAGGCACGTACCTTGAGCCGCTCGTACTTGTCGGGCTCCTGCTCGTGGCTCGGCCGGCTCGGCGCGGGCGGCGGCGCGGAGGACATGCCCAGGACGAAGGGCGCGAGCAGGGCGGCCGTGGACGCCACGGCGGCGACGAGGAGCGCCACGCTCGCGCCGAAGTGTTGGCACAGGGGCAGCGCCACCAAGGGGACCATGGTCAGCCCCAGCGCGCGGACGAGGCGCCTTGCGCCCAGCGTCAGCGCCGCGCGCTCGCCCCAGAGCTGGCCCAGCACCAGGCGGGCGGAGCGGGACAGGAGGCTGGCGCCCACACCTGCCCAACAAGAACAAGCCACCTTGAAGCTTTCCACTCTGGTGGCGCCGCGTCGCCGCCGCCTCCCCACCGCCACTCACCCGACGTCATGCCCGCGCTGATGCCGGCCAGGATGGGCAGCAGCGCGGACCGCGGCGCGAGGAGCCCCCCCACGGCCGTCAGCAGCAGCCCCCCCGCCAGCAGCACCGACCCCACCAGCGAGCACAGCCGGGGGTGGCCGTGCACGGCGCCCAGCGTCTCGCTCCAGGGATCTGCACGGAGCAAAGGGGATAAGCACTGTAAAATGTCTTACGGCGAAAGGCTGCACCTATGGCGGAGATTTTCTCCACAGTACAAACAAAATTCGTCAAAATTTCTATAAGGTACAGTGAATTCTCAATAAAGTCAGCTGCACCGCCACAGAACATTTTCACCATAATGTAGAGAATCTTCGCTATACAATATTTAGATTGGGAAACCGAGTGCCACTGCCGCGGCAGAGAGAGGAACCCCGCACCTTGCGCAACCAGCGCAATACCCTACTCACCCGCGACGCTCCATGACGCGGAGAAGAGCACGGGCGTCCACAGCAGTCCGTTGCCGCCCAAGTCCAGCAGCGTGAAGGAGCTAGTCGGCAGCGTGGTGCTGGGCAGCTCGTTGGAGGTCGTGCTGGAGGGCGTGGCGTTGGAGAAGACGATGGAAAGCGCGGTGTTGAAGAGAGTGCTAGAAAGTGTGGTGTTGGACAGGGCACTGGTGGTGTTGGAGAGAGTGCTGGAAAGTGTGGTGTTGGACAGGGCACTGGTGGTGTTGGAGAGAGTGCTGGAAAGTGTGGTGTTGGACAGGGCACTGGAAAGGGTGGTGTTGGAGAGAGTGCTAGAAAGTGTGGTATTGGACAGCGCGCCGGAGAGCGTCGCGTTGGCTAGGGCGCTGGGAAGGGTGGAGTTGGGGAGGGCGACGGGGAAGGTGGAGTTGGACAGGACGGGCGGAAGTTGATGAACGAAGCCTGCGTCGCTGGCCCAGAACACGAGCAGCAGCCCCCAGTAGCACTGCAGGCTGGGCACGGTGGCCTGGGGTAGATATAGCGATTCGTCAGCGGTGACGCTTGCGATGACGCCTCAGCCAATCACTCTCTTCGGCTTACCTCGAACACTAGGGAGACGAGCAGGGCGAGGTAGGCGCCCTTGCTGGGCGGCGGTGGCGGGCTGAAGTCGCCCTCGACCGTGGGCAGGGTGAGGTCGATGATGGAGCGCCTCGGCCTCGGCGCCGCGGCCGGTGCTGGCGCCGCACTCGGCCATGCCACGGCCGGCGGCTGGAAGGGGGACGACGCCATCATGCGGGGACGGCGTCGCACTCCCCGACGCCCATAATGTTCGCCACTGCCTCGGCGGCCAGGAAATCGGCGCGGCGATAAGGGAGTGTGTTATCGAAGGCCGCGCGACGCACGCAGGTGGCTCAGGTGGCGAACACGCACGGGGCGGTGTGCTCGGAGACGTCCTCGTCCTCGGCGGGGCGGGCGTTCGGGTCGCGTTGGTGCTGCGCACTGCACCACACTGCACTGCCCCGGGCCGGGCTGGGGCTGAGGCCTGGCCAAGGGCCTGCCAGGCTCTGAGTCACCGGCTCCTTATCGCGCGGTGAGCGGCCGGCGCGGCGGTCCAGCGTCCAGCGCGTCCAGCACGGGCCGGACCTGGACTCCAACCCGATGTCGCGATGTCGCGATGTCGCGGCGTCAGAGAGCACGACGGCGGCGTCTTCCGGGCAAAATGGCTCCGACAAACACAGGCCTTGCCGGTCCGCGCGACGAGAGTGCGCAGTACTCGCACCCGCACCGCACCCGACCGCACCTCGCGGTACCTCAGGACTGGCTTATCAGGAAGACGCCGCGCTCCGTATCTTATCAGCTGCAGTGCGGACCGGCCGGCGGACGCACGGACGCGCGGGCGGACAGCAGACGGGCTGACGGACGGACGGATGGTCTGACAGGCAGACGGGCGGGCTGTCGGACAGGCGGGTGGCTGGCAGGGGCAGGCCGGACAACGGCGTGCCCACTGTAAGCGCGTCGAGCGAGGAGCGAGCGCCCGCGCAGGTGGCCATAGGCAACACGCCGCGCGCAGGTGCCCACTGGGATGGGTGTGGCCTACCTCGCAGGCGTCCGGCAGCCACGGCCGCCACGGCGCGCTGCGCGTCGCAGGGAGCTCTACTGGGTTTATTATCATCTTTGCGGTGTGTTTGGCGACGAGGCACCGAGAAAGCGCGGCCGTGGGGGTGCTCTTCGCTTTAATGTCCCGACCACATGTGCGCGGGCGGCTGAGTAGGGCAGGGCGGGGCGGGGCGGGGCGGGGCGGGGCAGCACAGCCATCACTCTCCAGCCTCTGTGTCGGTTGAGCTGGATACACGTCCAAAAGGTTTGCCGGGGATCTCACAACAGTCGCGCAGTCTTGCTCGGCGCTGTGGGACGTTCTTTCGGACGGCCCCCGTAGCGCGTCTCGGAGTCTCGGAGTCTCGGACGCAGCCCCGGCGCACAGATAGCGTCCCTCGGGCTGCAGGCCGGCCGGGACCTCGCTCTACGCCTAGGGCCGCCACCGGCCGGGGCCTACAGGGCGCGGCCTAGTGCCAGCCGCGGAAGCAAAACAGCGAGGGAGACAGAGACACTGACCGTTATATTGCCTGTGTGCTTCACGCTGCACGCGGTGTTAGTCTACTCATCCAAGCAACAGGAAGCAAACAGGAAACAAAGGGCTCCCTTCTGCGCGTCCTGGACGCCGCCCCGTGTCATAGCCGAACGTCGGGCCGGCAAGGTGCGGTCGCAGCGCGGCCACCTTGCTCGGGGCCTTCTCGGGGCCGCGTAGACGATGGACGGCTCGCGCTGCGAGGCATCGCCAGGCATCCCCGCGATAACCCCTGGGCTGTGGGCTGTGGGCTCTGCGGCGGAAGTACCGCGGGCCGTCGGTAGCCCTCGGCCCGGCGGCTTGCCCGGCTTGCCAGTTCGCGGTGCGGTTCGGGCCGGCGGGGTTAACTCGAGCCGAGCGCCTCCCCGCGTCGGCCGGTCGGCCCGTCGGCTGCACTGCGACTGGACACAGGGAGGCCAGGAAGGGCGCGGCGAGTGGCTCAAGCGCCGCTGGCGCCTCGTTAAGGGCACTTGGCGATGTCACAGCGTCACAGCGTCACTGCGTCACTCGAACCGAGACGGCACTTCCGTACTGCCGCCTGCACTGCGTGACCGACGCAGCGCCGCGCGGGCCGCGGGGTGCGTTCATGTCACCGGCGCGGCGTTGGCGGTCCTCCGTCCTGCCCAGTGCCTGCCTGCTACGCTGCGGCGTTTGGCGAAGGGCTGCTCGCTGCGCTGCACTGCGCGCCATGGCGTCTCGGTGCGGTCAGAGACCTCGGGGCAGGAGCCCTGCGCCGCAAGCAGCGCTCAGCTGCTGTTTCAATCGAATCGAGAAGCGCGGAGAGAAGGAGAGAGAGAGACAGACAGCTGCGGCTATCGGCGCGCCCAATGGGCCGTGCCGGGCTGGGCAGTGCCGCGGTGTCGAAATGCAACAGAAAAGGGCCCGACCGCGAACATCGCTTCCGACGGCCCCCACACTGCACTCTCACTCACACACACATCCGTGCTTCAGATACAGGCTCGTCTTCCTTTCTTTCACATTCTCAATTTCCCCCATCAATCTAATTCGTTTGCTATCTCGACGTACGCATATGCTCTGACACACACACACGCACACGCGCGCCCAGTGTCGCCGCAGACTGCTGCTCCACTGCCGCCGCCGCGATGCTGTAGTAGCTGTCCCCGGGGCCCCGCTGGCGGGGCGAGGCGGGCAGGGCGGGGCGGGGCGGGGCGGGGCGCCCGGGGAGGGTGGCCAGCCGATCGGCTCCCATGCTCCACTCTTTGCCGGTGCGTCCGTGGTGCAGTGTCGGGGCTGTGACTTAGTGACTACCGCGATGAAGTGGTGATGGCGTCCTTGAGGGCGTCCCCGAGGGCGCCGCGGCGCCTCGCGCCCCTCGTCGTCGTGCTGGCGGTGCTGGCCGTGCTGCTGCTGCAGGACGCCGAGGCCGCCACCAAGCGCAGGAAGGGGCCGAAACGCATGCAGAGCCAGCAGCCCGCGCAGCCGGGCGCGCCCGACTACGACAACCTGCCCCCGGACTACTACGACTACACCGAGTTCGAGGACGGTAAGGCCGTCGCCGAGGCCATCCCAGAGGCTAACCTACAAAAAGGAGGGCTGGGCTCGAACTTGGCCGCGGTGTGGTCGCTGTTCCCGCCAGTCGGCAGCGCAAGGCGTGCGTGTTGTTGGGACGGAACTGCCGCCGACTCCGACTCTCTGGTCTCAATGTCTGTGCGGGTGCTGGCGGCTTTCGGTCCCGTGCTGACGTTGTAAGGGCCGGTGTCGCCTGCACGTGGTGGCTTCCTCTTTCCTCGACGCAACGCGCCGCAACGCGCGGCCCAGAAGACGGCCGCCTTTATCGAGATGCCTCCGGTCCGGTTATCAAACCGCACGCGGCTTTTCGGGGCCCCGCGCCCCGCCCCGCGCCACCCCGCCCCGCCCCGCCCTGCGCCCCGCTGGCCCGGCCGCACGTTCCCGCCAACCGAAAGGCCGCGAGGCTGCGGGGGCGCTCGAGAAACGTCAATGGGATTCTGTGCCGAAGCTTAATTTCCACGTTCTCTCCGTCGACTGTTGTTTTGCCCCGAAGTACCTCCGTCTTTGAGCGGCGAGGCGTGCCCTCTGCCGCTGCGGCGACAGGGTGCTGTGCACGGACTTCCTTCCTTTCCACGTTGGTCTAGCGCAGATGTTGGCGCTGCAGGGTGGAGTAGGAAGCAATAATTGCTTTTGGACTTTGATTGCGTTATCGAGTGACTTGTGAAACGGATGCCGCGATGCGGCGAAGCGGCCCTAGGGGGTCAACGGATACTCCCCGTCCAGCACGTGCGCCGCGCCGAGTCCGAGACACCAAAACACGAGCTAGCGGGACCTGCGCCGCCTGCGCCTGCGGCAACGTCGACCGGGGAGCTTCTCAAGTTTACAACTTGCCTTGCAGGAGAGGGGAGCACCGCGGCTCCCCAGGGGCCGGCGCCACCTGAACCCGTGCCCACACTGCCGCCCACCCCGCCACCGGTGACCACCCCGCAGCCTTTGGACGAGAGGCCGACGGAGTCGGACCTGAGGACCGCGTCGTCAGGTAAGGTCTCGGACGGCGGCCCGTCGGCGAGGCGCACTGCGCACCAATCCAGTGCGAGACTTTCCCCTTTCCATCTGACAGGCAGCACTCGCGGCCCAGTGTACACCTCGCCTTGGACACCCGCATGGACACCGACGCCGTCTCCGTGGACGCCCACGCCCACCCCGTGGACGCCCAGGTTCGAGCTGACGACGGAGCGGACCACGCCGCAGCCTGCGTCCGAAGGTGAGGACTTGTTTTGGCCGCGCCGTGCCGCGTTGCCGTGTTTCTTCTCTATCTCTGCTTTCCCTCACAGTGGAGGGGTCGTGCACATTCGAGGGCCGCTGGTACCGCGAGGGCGAGGACTGGAAGCCGGACGCGTGCACCACGTGCGTGTGCACCGGCAGCAGGGTGCAGTGCGTGCAGAACGGCGACTGCAACGCAGGTGGGTGCTGCCCGACGCGACCGCGGACGCGACGCTCCACGCCCCGGCGGGGCGATGGCACTGTCTCTCACGCACACTAGCGCAATGCCCCGTGAGTGTGAGAGAGACAGAGCGATGAAAGCGCCGCTTGGAATCCGGGTGTGTTCCAGGTCCCCACTGCACCGGCGTCGTCTGCGTGGACCTGGACTGCGACACTCACAAGTACATCCCGTTGGGGCAGTGCTGTCCGGTGTGTGCGGGTGAGAGAACGAACACAATGTGAGAGGGGGAGAAGGGAGGAGAGTGTGTCTAATGCACAGCCATGTGTTCCATGTTGCAGATGAAGTGACGGCGAGACCGGTAAGCTCGACACTCTTCTTTGATCGACGGACGACTGTTGGGTTATTCTCAGCCGTTCTGACTGCGATATTTAAACCGTTTCTCGCAGGTGAGCCCCTTCACCCCGACGTACCCGCCGCCGCCGGTGACCGTTGAGGGCGCCAGGGTGAGTGCCTGCGCCGCCTGCGCTCTGCTGGCGACGCCGCCATTGGCGCTATTGGCAGTTAGACGCAGATTCATCGCTGCGCTGCTGCGCTACACTGTGTTACTCGCCCTAACGCTATTAGGACCAATCAGGCTGGGCTGCTGGGGTCAGCGGACTGGGGAAGGGGAGGGGGAAAGGGGAGGGCACTGGCTGAAACGAGCTGAAGCGTGCACTGCGGGCCCTTTGAATGGCGCGTCTGATTGCAGGGTGAACCCGGATACCGCGGCGAGCCCGGCCGGCCCGGAGACAGCGGCATTCCTGGAACGCCGGGGTCGCCTGGAATCCCAGGAAGCCCGGGCCCTCCAGGACCATCTCCGGATGTAAGCTCAACGAAAATGTGAGTATTTGGACCCAGGGCACCTGCTTATCCGCGGTTTCTGCCCGCAGCTGACGTCGTACTACCAGGAGCTGGCGGCGCAGGCAGCTGGCAGCGAAAAGGGCCCCACGGGAGTCGCCAGCTACCCGGACCCGTTCCGCTACCTGCAGGCCCAGGTGGGGCCCGTGGGGCCGCGGGGGCCGCCCGGGCCGCCAGGGCCGGCGGGGCCTCAGGGCTTCCAGGGCATCCGTGGCGAGACCGGCGAGCAGGGCCCCGGAGGACCGCAAGGACAGGCCGGGCCCAGAGGGCTGCCAGGGCTGCCCGGCAAGGACGTGAGTCCCTACAACGCCCGCAGGCCGCAGGGTCTACCTTCTCTCCGGTGTTCTCTTCCCATTCCACTGCACTGTTCTCCTCTTCTCCAGGGCGAGGCCGGCGAGGACGGCGAGGCGGGGCAGGCAGGCCCGGCGGGGCCCCCCGGTCCGCGGGGGCTGCCCGGCATGCCGGGGCTGCCTGGCACCAAGGGCCACCGCGGCTTCCCAGGACTGGACGGCGGCAAGGGCGAGCAGGGCACGGCCGGCGAGAAGGGCTCCATGGGGGCGGCGGGGCCGCTCGGACCCCCCGGTCCGACGGTACGTGCGCGACGTGCGCGAAGCGGCGAGGGCGCCCACACCCGCGACTCCCGCCCACCTCGTTGACGCCATTCGTATTTTGCAGGGCGGCGCTGGTCCGCGGGGTGAGCGTGGCAGGGAGGGGCCGCCGGGCCCCCCTGGCATCAGGGGCATCGACGGCACAGCGGGCCCGCCAGGCCAACCGGTGGGTGTTGTCTTGATTTCATGGACGGCTCAGCGCTGTCGCGGCGGCGGTTGACTCTCGCTTTCGTTCCAGGGCGGCGTCGGCAAGCCAGGACCACCCGGCTTCCCCGGCAACCCCGGCAACAAGGGTGACCAGGGATCGCAGGGGCCGAAGGGCAGCCCCGGACTGCAGGGACCACGCGGTGAGCGGTGCCGATGCCGAAAACAAACGAAAACCACCCCGGCGTCGCGTCGCAGCGTTCTCTCGCTGAGCAGTCTGTTTCATGTCTTGCAGGCGAGTCGGGGCGTCCCGGCCAGCCGGGCGACACGGGGCCGCAGGGCGCCGCCGGCAAGGACGGCAGTGCCGGCGACAAGGGCAGCACGGGGGCGCCGGGCATCGCGGGGCCGCCAGGGTTCCCGGGGGCGCGCGGGCCGCCCGGCCTCAACGGCAGTCCCGGCGAGCCCGGAGTGAAGGGCCTGCCGGTACGTCATGCCAGCGACTCATTGACCACTCGTCTGCAGCAAGTACACTATGCTCTCAGTACCAACGCGTCGGCTTGGCCGTGTTGCAGGGCACGCCCGGCGAGCGCGGCTTCAAGGGCGAGGCGGGCATGAAGGGCGAGACGGGGGCGTTGGGGCAGCGGGGGCTGCCCGGTGCGGCCGGCCCCGAGGGCAAGCGCGGCAAGCGAGGCATGCGAGGCCCCACGGGGCCCAGCGGGCCTCCTGGCGAGCGGGGCGTGGCGGGGCAGCGGGGACTGCCCGGGCCCGACGGCGCACCCGGCCCCAAAGGTAGGTGCAGGCTGCGCGTCAGCCCGCCGCGTAGCGCGTAGCGCTCCCCGGAGATGTGGCACACTGTAATATCTCCTCCCCCTCCCTCCGCAGGACAGTCCGGCGACCGCGGAGCAGCGGGGCCGCAGGGCCTGAAGGGCGCATCCGGAGAGCCAGGACGCCCCGGCACCCCAGGGCTGCAGGTACGGCCCCGCATTCGCCACGCGGTCTCGCCAAACATCCAAACTCCTGGAAGACGTGAATTCCTTTCGGCTTTGGTTCGTTTCAGGGCTTGAGAGGAGCGGCTGGAAGGCCGGGACCCCCCGGGAAGACAGGCAACCCCGGCGAGCGCGGCATTCAGGGTGCGGATGGAAAACCCGGCGAGCAGGGACCTCAAGGTTTGCAAGGTTTGCCAGGGTCCATGGGCATGCCTGGCGACAAGGGACTTACGGTGAGTGATGGCTGCGATCTAGGTTCTTCAAACCACGGTTAGAGGCATTTTGCAGGCTTGTCGCATTGCGCTGTGCGCGGGGTGGCCAGGCGGCAGGCGACAGGCCCGTTGCGCTGCGCTGTGCGAAGGGTTGCCTACCCACCGATTCACAGGCGCTAGCGGGCACGTCGCGTCACCGTCATCTCGCTTGTCTTGTTCTTTCCCAGGGCGAGGCGGGCAAGGACGGTGAGCCGGGTCCTCCCGGCCCCCAAGGACCTCGCGGCGATGCTGGCAAGGATGGTGCGACGGGCCCCCAGGGCCCCCCTGGTCCCCCCGGATCGGACGGAGAGAGAGGCCCCCCAGGGCCAGCCGGGCCGACCGGCTTCCAGGTACAGCTCCAGTTCCAGTCTCGGCTGCTCTCTGCTCCAGAAGCGCACGCCTGCAGCCAGTGACTCTGCTTCCAGGGACTGCCAGGACAACCCGGCAACGCGGGCGCTCCGGGCAAGGACGGCGAGGCCGGCGTGCAAGGCCCTCCGGGACCGCCCGGACAGGCCGGCTCCAGGGGCGAGAGGGGCTTCCACGGCGAGCGCGGACCCGTCGGCCCTCCAGGGACTCCAGGGCCGCGCGGCGAGGCTGGGGCTCAGGGCGCGGACGGCACCCCCGGCACGCCCGGCGCCAAGGGCAGCAAGGGCCACCAGGGTCCCATGGGTCTGGTGGTGAGTGCCACCAACGAGTACAACGAGTACAAAGGGACTGAGCGCAGTGTAAGGTCGCCGCACCGAGTGATGCGTTCTTGACGTGTTCCAGGGCTTGCCTGGAGGCCGCGGGCTGCCAGGACTTCCAGGAGACAAGGGCGAGCGCGGTGCTACCGGTCCCATTGGCCCTGAAGGACCCGCAGGTGCGTTTATCGCCCAGCCTCTCTCCCACTGACAGTTCCATCGCTCTGGAGCTTCCTTCCACCTTGAACACCTCTTCACGCCTTTTGCAGGCCGTGCCGGCGAGCGGGGCCCGCAGGGCATTCAGGGATCCCCGGGACCCCCCGGAGAGCCCGCCGAGCGTGGAGAGACAGGCCCGCCCGGCCCTCCCGGCGAGTCCGGCGCGGCTGGCTCCCCGGGCGAGCGCGGCGCGCAGGGGCTGCCGGGCCCGCCGGGCTTCCCTGGCGCGCAGGGCCTCGTGGGGCTGCCGGGCGGCAAGGGCGAGCGAGGCCTGGCCGGCATGAAGGGCGAGCAGGGCAACCCCGGCGCCGCGGGCGTGCCGGGGGAGGCCGGGCCGCCGGGACTCGTGGGGCTCACCGGCGCCAAGGGGGCGCGCGGCGAGACGGGGCCGCGCGGGGAGAGCGGACTCATGGGTCCGCCCGGCCGGCCCGGGGAGCAGGGCGCCGCGGTGAGTACGCCCGCAGTCCGTCTGTTCGTCCGCCTGTCTGTCTGTCTGTCTGTCTGTCTGTCTGCTAGTGAAGCGGCGTGTTCCGTTTGCAGGGACATCCGGGCAACCCTGGACCTGCGGGAGTGGCCGGGCTGCCTGGCATCAAGGGCACGCCCGGCGACGTCGGCCGTCCGGGCAACCCCGGGCCGCAGGGGCTGCAGGGCGCACCGGGACTCGAAGGGCTGAAGGGAGACGCCGGGTCTGAGGGCCCCATCGGGCCCGCTGGACAAGCAGGCCCTCAGGGCTCGCCAGGTAAGAGGTGGCGTCACAGCGCGGCAAAGTTCGTGAAAATGTAGACGGATGTCTGAAAATCGTGTTTCGGGCTGACTCAGATCAAGGGTGATTTAGGGCTGAGGATCACTGTACGTTCCGTCGTTGCTTCCAGGTGAGCGCGGGCTGCCGGGACTTCCAGGGCCCACGGGGCCCACGGGGGCGCGCGGGCTGCGAGGGGCACAGGTAACAGCATGGAGTGGTGGCCGCTCGGCCGCTCCTGGAAATGCGGCGGCACGGCGGTCGAAAGCTCGCCTGACACTCCTGCTCTACTTCCGCTCGGCTTGTTGCAGGGCGAGGCTGGACCGCAGGGCAAGCCCGGCTCCGAGGGCGCCCCAGGCCCCATGGGGCTCATCGGGCCGCCCGGGCCACCAGGCCCCACCGGGGAGCACGGGCCCGAGGGACCCCCCGGCAAGATGGGGCCGCCAGGCATCAGCGGCAGGCCCGGCGACAAGGGACCCATCGGCACGCCCGGCGGCCCAGGCAACCCCGGCTCCCCCGGCTTGCCGGTGAGTGCGGCTCCACAGCCACTCTTCCTCTTCCGGTTCGCTCGCCTCCTGTTTCGCTCACCGTCTCTTCCCACAGGGCCCACCAGGACAGCAGGGACCGGCCGGCACCCCCGGCGAGAGGGGCCTCCGCGGCGAAACCGGGCCCCCGGGCGCGGACGGGCAACTGGTGAGTCTGGGCGTCAGGCTACGTCAGGCGGGCTGGGGACTGATTCCGACAGTCGTTTCCGACGCGTTGCCTCTCTCGCACCAGTAGGACGCCTCGTGAGTGTGAGGGAGACGGAGTGACGAAAGAGAATCCTGGAATCAGCCTAGGCAAGGCCTGCAGTGCGCGGCGTGCGGCAGTCCTCGCGTGGGACGCACACCAACCGCGCGTCGTGTCGTTGTGTCATTGCAGGGCCCGCGAGGCAAGGCGGGGCCCCCGGGACCGGAGGGCGGCAAGGGCGAGCGCGGCGAGCTGGGCCCCAAGGGCGCCAAGGGACACCGAGGACTCATCGGGCTGCAGGGCCTGCCGGGGACACCCGTAAGTACGGGTGCGGCTCGCTGGCGGCATGCTGACTGCACGCGGCGCTTGGACTCATGCTTGTCGTGTTGCAGGGCCTCAACGGCGAGCGCGGCCTGATCGGGCCGCAAGGGCCCCCCGGCAAGGACGGCGAGCCCGGCCAGAGAGGTGAGGCGGCGGCGCGGGCGTCAACGCCACTGTCTGAGGGGCATTTCCTTACTGTGTGTCTCCTTGCAGGAACCCCCGGCCGCGACGGCAGCCCCGGGCCCATGGGCTTGTCCGGGCCGCCTGGACCCAGAGGCCCTCCCGGTGACGGCGGCTCGCACGGCACCCCAGGTAACCCTGGCCCGCCAGGGCCTCCGGGACCTCCTGGCGAGACCATCGGCTACGACGCGGCGGCGCTGGCCGCCATCATGGGGCAGTCGCAGAGCAAGGTGAGCGTCGCGGGGCAGCCGACCGATTCAGGCGAGTGGCTTATCGTTCTGTCTCTCTCGCGCCGTTATGGAGAGCCCCGCGAGTGCGACAGAGACAGAGCGACGAAACGACTCGTCTGAATCGCGCGGCAGACTTGGCTAGCGCTCCCATCCTTGACATCCTGCTCTTGCCACAGGGCCCGGACCCACTCATGGGCGGCGACGAGCCCCCCAGGATCTTCGGCAAGGAGCTGACGGAGGCGGAGCGGCGGGACCTGCTGCTCAAGGCCTACAACCACGTCAAGGAGTCCCTGGAGAGGTTCCGCCGGCCGGACGGCAAGAAGGACGCCCCCGCCAGGACCTGCCGCGACCTGCACGTCGCGCACCCCGATCTGCCTTCGGGTAAGGAGTCCCGCCTCGGACAATGTCTGCGTGGACTTTTGCCTTTTAACAGTGTGTTGGACTGGGCCTTCTCTCCTTCCAGGCGAGTACTGGATCGACCCCAACGACGGCGACCCGCGCGACGCCATCCTGGCCGTGTGCGACATGGAGCGCAGGGCGACGTGCGTCACCCCGCAGCCGGACCGGTCGCCACACGTGCACTACCGCGGCGAGGAGCAGGAGGTGTGGCTGGGCGACATCCCGGAGGGCATCAAGGTGAGCCAGCGATCCGCCACGCGCGAGCGACGCCGAACCACTGGGACCTGAACTGAATCAATCCGCCTTCCTGTGATTGGCAGCTGACGTACAAGTCGGACAGCAACCAGTTGGGCTTCCTGCAGCTGCTGTCCACCACGGCGCAGCAGAACTTGACGTACCACTGCAAGGGCTCGGTGGCGTACCACGACGCGGCCAAGAACACCTTCCGGAAGGCCGTCAAGTTCCTGGCCTACAACGACGCCGAGATCACGGCCCGCGGCAACCAGCGGTTCCGCTACGAGGTGCTGGAGGACGGCTGCAAGGTGAGTGCCCGGGTTCGAGTCCCGCCTGTCGAAAGGCTTTTTCTTTTTTGGCTAATCGTGTCCTCGTCCCGCAGCACCGCAAAGCCGAGTGGTCCAAGACCGTGATGACGTACCGCACGGACAAGACCAGCCGCCTGCCCGTCCTGGACATGGCCGTCAAGGACGTCGGCAAGGAGGGCCAGAGCTTCTGGCTGGAGGTGGGCCCCGCCTGCTTCTGGTAGCGCGGCCTGCGGCCTGTGGCTGAGGGCGTCTGCTAACGACTGACTAGCAAAGCAGACCAAGAACCACTCAAATTTTACACTGACTGCACTGCCGAATGTACTTTATTTCATTTTGAGATAGTTTTATGTAGTTTGTAAGAAACGAATCGATACTGCCACTAAATTAGGTTTAATTTATAGTCTATGTGAAAAAGGTGAAACTTCTCCTGTCACAGAATGTGTCAAGTATTTCGAACAATATTGAAGTGAATTTTATACAAAGGAAATAAAACAGACTTTCTTTATTTGAGTTGTGTATTTTTACATCTCAACCTTCACATTTAGTGTTGCCTGCAGACATCACCTCTAGAGGGCAAAGACCACACAGTGCCCAGTGGGCTGAGGTTGGCAACCCTATTCCGACACTGAAGCATCATCTCCTGCACCCTTCCCACGCGCTTCCCAGCAAGATGCACTTGCCGCCGCTTTGAAATTGGCGCGGCGCCGCTCGACGCCCCAATGACGTCGTGGCTACGTCGTGACGCCCGTAGCGGAGCCCTGCCCCTGCAAACCGATTCCGAAAGCCGTTTTCGTCGCTCTGTCTCTTCCGCACTCGCGGGGCGCCCCGTTCGGGTGCGCGAGAGAGAGACAGCGACGAGAACGACTCTCGGAATGGGCCTGCCAGCGCGGTGCTGCCCTCTGCCGGGGGGCGGCGGCACCGCCCGTCCACCCCCGGGCTCCCGGGTCGATGCGCGGGGGCCGCGTCCGGGGTGGCGGCGCGTCCGTCTCGCCTGCCGCACGGCCTCGGCGGCCGCGACGGGGAGGCCGCGCGTTCGAACGCGCCCCCGGACGCAGCCCCCGTGGTGCGCCGTGGCCAGCCCGTCCCGCCCCGCGCGCCCCGTCCATGTTGTGGCAGCGCAGCTAAGCGCAGCGGACGAGTTTTCCCCTGTCGAGAAAAAGACGCGCCGCGCCCCGCCTCGCGGCCGCCCGCGCCCCGACGACGGTGCGAGCAACGCGCGGGCCTCGCTGTCAACGCGACTTGCGGACTCGTCATCGGCGACGACCACCTTGGCGACGACTGGCGGACGCAAGGACCCCGTCAGCCCCGTCCTTCGAGTCTCGAAGTGAGGTTAGGAGTCGCCCCGCGCGAGAGCCCGATGTGTCCCCGAGGCTGGCCGTCGCCGTGATCCATGTGAGTATGTCTTTCATCCCCTCGCTCTCGAGGAGCTTCCTGGAGGGCCGCGTGTCGCCGTTTGGCGCCTCCAGTGTGGTGACAAGGGGCCTGGGTGCGGGCCGTGGTGGCCGAGGCGCCCATTGTGGTCATTGGTCACTCCTTGGCCGCCTGCTTCTCGCTAGCTGTTTCCTCTGTTCGACTCTTTGGCCGACACTCGTTCTGCCTCCCCGTTTTCGTCTTCATTTTCGCGCAAGCGAAATGACTACCAGGTCCAAACCACCCCGTGTTTTCATTCCCACACTCGGATGGTCGAGGACGCGCGAGTGGGCGCAGGGTAGGGGGAGGGGGAGGGGGGCTGTCCGCTAGATCGCGCCTCACGGAATTCTTACCATCTTTACTTCGGTTCGGGCTGGGTTTCATCGTTATTCGTTGTGATGGAATGGAAGCTGCCAAGATACGCAACGGAAAAGCCACTCTTTTCTGGGCCAAGCGGCTAAAACAACGGTTCTCAGCCTTCTCCGACACGCGACTCAAAAATTATCGCCGCCCCACAGTCAAAATTAAGTCCCCCTCCTCTCTGGTTTTCTGCTCTTTACGTTTCTACTTCCGGTCTCATACGACCCTTGTTCGTTAGTTTGAGCTGTCAAACGAACGAGGGCACGACTGGACACAGTGTAATTTGATCAGGGCACCCTTTTATCCCGTCTACGACGCCAAAAGGACGATGGCACTATTTTATTCCGTCTGCATGGGCGAAAGGACAGTGTTGTTTTGAAGTAAGATTCGGGACCAGGGCAGCGTGTACAAGGTGCACGCAGGTCATTTCTTTCATTTCAAAGCAAGCTTTGGGACCAGGGCTGCGTGATTTTGCATATGAGGTGTGCACGGTGGTCACTTTGACCCCGCAGCTCGCAGAGTGCAAGCTGGTTGCCAAATGACAGCGCGCGCGAGGCGTGTCGGGATAATAGATGCCTGTTGCCGCCACGCGTGGCCACGCCACGCCCCACCGGTTAGGCCGCAATGTAAACGCTGCAGTACTACTACATGCCGAGGTGCGCCTCGACGGGTCGGCCCCCTGCAGCCGTCCGGGAGGGACGGCACGGCGTTGACGACGCCGCGTATGGACGTTGCGGCCTTTGCCCGCCCTTCCTCGCCAACAACAACCAGGGGGTGGGGTTCACGACCGGGGTTAGCGACGCGAAGCTAAAGGGGTAGGGGTCGGGGGTGGAGTGGGGGTTCCAGGGGAAAGGCACGCCGAAGCGTATCAGGGCGATAAAGTCCAGGACCCCCAGCAGGCCGAGCCAGCAGGCAGTGCGGACTCTCCAGGGGGTCACCAGTCACCCCGCCCAGCCACACACTCACACACAAACACACACACGTGCTGTACTTTGTGTTGACGTTCCGGTGCTCACTCAACCGCCGGTCTGCGCGCACAGATAAAACTCATCCGGAAAATACGCGTCCAGCCGATTTCGCTTCGAGCTTTCTGTCTCCGGGAGACGATTCCGCCATTGTGTTGTATGTAACGCCAAGTGCCCCTTGAAAACTTGCACGATCAGCCCGCCCCACCAGTAGCGAGAAACAAGCCGGCTGGATCCGGGCCGTGCACGAGGTCGTGCAGGAAGCCCCCGCCCCTTCTCAGCCCTTCTCCCTTCTGCCCTTCCGGGCGAGTGCCCCGCTAATTTCTCGTTGGCCAAGATTTTGGGAAGCGCCGCCGGCAAGCCGCCGGCCTTCTTGAGGCCTTATCTCAACTTCATTTTCTGCGTCGGAGCAAAATCAGAGAAAAACAGAATTTAAGAAAGCGGGGTGGGGGAGAAAAGTTTCGGCAGACGAAAGATGACTATCATTTCGGGTCAATGGCTGGCTCGGCTCATCTGTCTGAAGTTTTGTAAATGGCAATCATGAGGCAGGGTAATGCAGGAGGCTATCACTGTTTTACAATCCCTAAAGAGGAAAATAGCAATCCTCAAGGAACGCGCCGCAGTGCCATGGTTCGTGGTGCAGCCTTCCAACGAGACGGCTCTGTGGGGCTGGGCCCTGGCTCGAGCCCAGCCTGGTGCCGCTGTGGTGGCAAGAGAGTCCTTCCAGTCAACTCTAGGGCTCCAGCGCTCTAGAGTCACGGGCACAGCTCATTGCGGGGGTAGGGCTTGGCTGAGATGTCACTGCGGCTCGACTCGGCACGGCCCAGCCAGCGAGGGTGCTCTGCCTGGCTCTGCGGGGCCGCTCTGCTCGTCGCTGAGCGCTGTGAACCGGAGCGGCGTGGATTACACGGAGCCGAGCAGGTTTTCCGCAGTTTTCTCCGGGCCTACAACGTCTCAGCCGCCCCGGCCTCTCAGACAGCGCGCTGCCCGATGACGTCACCCCCGCGACGCCCCTAATCGCGCAGGCGCCGCGGGAAGGGGCTGGGCGGGGCGGGGCGGAGTGGGGCGGCACACCCACACGCGCACGCGGCGGGCCCGGCGCACGCACGGCGAGGTGCAGTCCGGCCGCCCCGCCTCGCCACGCCCCCCGCGCAGTGCCCGACGGGCTCCGAACCGTGGCGCAGCCGCCACTGCCGCCGTCCTCTGCGGACGCCGACCGCCGCGAGCACGCCGACGACCGACGAGGCAGCCCTCCACCGCGACGACGGACTTGTCGACGTGGACGCGGAGGGCCGAGCCGCGAACGACCGAAACGACCACGCCGCAGGGTCGGTGGGCCTTGGCACGGTACACTGTACACTCCAGCCGCGCTGCTGCAGGACGAGTAGAGTCATCCCGCCAAGCAGCGGAATTTGGATTACCATTCCTGCGCGCCCCGGATGCCTGCGAGGTGGGTGCCTGTCTGCCTGGCTGCCTGGCTGCCTGCCTGCCTGCCTGCCTGGCCGTCGGACCTGGTGGGGGTGAAGTCCACGACGTCCACGGCGTCCACGGCGGCATGTGTCGCCGGCCGGCAGGGCGACGTGATGGACGAGCCGCTGCCGCTCCCTCGCCTTCACTGCTAAAAATGTCTCTCCTGACGTGCACGTGACATTATTTGGCTGTTTGTCACCTTCCTCGACGAAAAATGAATTGCTCGTCGGCTTCCGCGTTCAGTAACGTTGCACCCCCGAATTTTAACAGTGTTCCCCCTGCCCTCGCAGGGTAAGAAACGCATTTGCGGTTGTTTTCCTACACGGCAAAGGGCAGCCGGGATGCCCTCCGCGAATAGCCCTCCGCCCTCCGGCCGGGCTGGGAGCAGGGCTGCGAGCAGGGCTGGAGAGCATAGGGCCATTCCGGCCTGGACGCCGGCCGGCCCAATCCCTGACGTAAGCCCTCTGCCCTGGGCTGGGCTGGGCCCTATATGCCCTACGCCCTGGCCCTTCACCCCGAGTCCTTCCTGGTCCTTCCCCGGACACGCTCAGCCCTCTACCGTGTTTGCTGAGACTAAATGGACCCTGGTACGTCCCGGCCAAAAAAATAAAAAAAAACTTAGCTATAAATAAAAGCGTTGATTTCGTTGGGGGAATATATTGGCAGATCGAAATTTACGACGAACTGAGCTGAAATCGAATACCACTTAGCGGCCCGTGGCGTGGCGTCAGCCCGGCTTCATGGCAAAGTGGCTGCCTGCTTCCGCACGACACCAAGTGCACGAAGGCGCACGAAGGTGCCGGGAGCGCGTCGGCCCTCGACGCCGTGGTCACGCGCGTGCGGCGGCGTGCCTTGGCGTGCCTTGGCGTGCGTCGCCGCGCGGCATACAAAAACACTTTCGCTGCGCGCGGCGCGTCTCTGGCGCACGACGCAGAGTGTGCCGCCGAGGTGGGCCGGCCCGCCGCACCTCCACGACGCGCACCTCCAAGTTTCAAGTTAGGGGTTCTGCGGCGGTCATTTCGTCGACGGGCACCAACGCCATAATGGGACATTCCACGTGAATCCAACGACGGTTTGGAATCGAGGTCCTCGGATTTCGACCTAAGTGGTATCAATCGATTCGGTATCGGCCCCTGACTCACCATGTAAATTTTTTTGAAAAAATTTTGAACGGTTTAGTTTTTGCACCAGTTTTATGGTTTTAAAAGTTTTAAAATAGTAAAAACAAAAATTTTTTTTCAAAATTTTTTTTAGGTGTTCTTTAGGGTTTAGGAAT